GTCATACTCACTGACACCTGCCCTCCTCACCACTCCTGCTCTAGATCCAGGCACCTGGTCCTACTCACTGACACCTGTCCTCCTCACCACTCCTGCTCTAGATCCAGGCACCTGGTCATACTCACTGTCACCTGCCCTCCTCACCACTCCTGCTCTAGATCCACACACCTGGTCATACTCCCTGACACCTGCCCTCCTCACCACTCCTGCTCTAGATCCACACACCTGGCCATACTCACTGACACCTGCCCTCCTCACCACTCCTGCTCTAGATCCACACACCTGGCCATACTCACTGACACCTGTCCTCCTCACCACTCCTGCTCTAGATCCAGGGACCTGGTCATACTCCCTGACACCTGTCCTCCTCACCACTCCTGCTCTAGATCCAGGCACCTGGTCTTGGTTACTGACACCTGTCCTCCTCACACCTGCTGTATATCCACACAGCTCTCTGACACTTCCATCACCTCTCTCTTTGACAGGGGTCTGCACTTAGGACACCTGGTTACTCTCCCCCAGTTGTGGGTGTTCTCTTATCACTTTTTTTGGTTTTTGTTTCAGGATGATTTTTTAATAGTTTTGCTTCAGTGTTTTACTTCTGAAAAAGGGGGCCTGGATGATGCACTCTGGGCTTGTTTGGGAGCATGGACAGCCCTTGGAGGTTGGCATGGGGTCTGTGGGGGTGGGGGGTGAAAGAAAGCCTGCCTGGGTGCAGGAGGGTCCCTGGGCCCTGCAGGAAGAGCGGTCAGCCTGGCAGCTGCCCCTGGGTCTCCTCCCACTGCGAGGTTGTAATTCCATCTGTCATCTGGCCTCCCCTGCCCTCCTCTGCAGATGCAAATCTGGTAACATAGTCTGGCCCCACACCCATAGATGCATTACCAGCTCCCATCCTCTTGACTCCCAAGAGAGGCCGGTGCGGAAGTTGGATGTGATCAGCCTCCACACCGCCCTGGCCTGGGCCATCATCTCGTGTTGCTCACCTGCTCTTCTCTGGTCCTGAGGGCATGGTTTGGGGGCTGGCACAGAAAGAGGCATTTGGGAATGAGCTCAGTCGGAGAAGGGCAGGGAACACATGCTGGGGAAAGTTCGTGTACGTCCCTCCTGCCTGGAGTTGCAGACCGGTAGGAGAGGAGTACAGGGTGCACACCTAGGGGTACAGAACATACTTGGAGTACAGGACACACACCTGGGTGCAGGACATACCCTCGAGGTTCAGGACACACACCTGGGTGCAGGACACGCACCTGAGGTGCGGACACACACCTGAGGTTCAGGACACACACCTGGGTGCAGGACATACCCTGAGGTTCAGGACACACACCTGGGTGCAGGACATACCCTCAAGGTTCAGGACACACACCTGGGTACAGGACATACCCTCAAGGTTCAGGACACACACCTGGGTGCAGGACATGCACCTGAGGTGTGGACACACACCTGAGGTTCAGGACACACACCTGGGTGCAGGACATACCCTGAGGTTCAGGACACACACCTGGGTGCAGGACATACCCTCAAGGTTCAGGACACACACCTGGGTACAGGACATACCCTCAAGGTTCAGGACACACACCTGGGTGCAGGACATACCCTTGAGGTTCAGGACACACACCTGGGTGCAGGACATACCCTCGAGGTTCAGGACACACACCTGGGTACAGGACATACCCTCAAGGTTCAGGACACACACCTGGGTGCAGGACATGCACCTGAGGTGTGGACACACACCTGAGGTTCAGGACACACACCTGGGTGCAGGACATACCCTTGAGGTTCAGGACACACACCTGAGGTGCAGGACACACACCTGAGGTGCGGACACACACCTGAGGTTCAGGGCACACACCTGGGTGCAGAACACACACCTGAGGTGCTGGACACGCACCTGAGTTCAGGACACACACCTAGGTGCAGGAAACACACCTGAGGTTCAGGACACACACCTGGATGCAGGACACACACCTGAGGTGCGGACACACACCTGATGTTCAGGACACACACCTGGGTGCAGAACATACACCTGAGGTCGGACACACAGCTGAGGCTCAGGACACACACCTGAGATGCAGGACACACACCTGAGTTGCTGGACACACACCTGGGTTCAGGACACACACCTGAGGTTCTGGACACACACCTGGGTACAGGACACACACCTGGGTGCAGGAAACACACCTGAGGTTCAGGACACACACCTAGGTGCAGGAAACACACCTGAGGTTCAGGACACACACCTGAGATGCAGGACACACACCTGAGGTGCGGACACACACCTGAGGTTCAGGACACACACCTGGGTGCAGAACATACACCTGAGGTCGGACACGCAGCTGAGGCTCAGGACACACAGCTGAGGCTCAGGACACACACCTGAGTTGCTGGACACACACCTGGGTTCAGGACACACACCTGAGGTTCTGGACACACACCTGGGTACAGGACACACACCTGGGTGGAGGACACACACCTGAGGTGCAGGACACACACCTGAGGTTCCGGACACACACACATGGGTACAGGACACACACCTGGGTGCAGGACACACACCTGGGTATAGGACACACACCTGAGTTTCAGGACATGTACCTGGGTGCAGGACATACACCTGAGGTTCTGGACACACACCTGGGTACAGGACACACACCTGGGTGGAGGACACACACCTGAGGTGCAGGACACACACCTGAGGTTCCGGACACACACACCTGGGTACAGGACACACACCTGGGTGCAGGACACACACCTGGGTTCAGGACACACACCTGAGTTTCAGGACATGCACCTGGGTGCAGGACACACACCTGAGGTGCAGGACATGCACCTGGATGCAGGACACACATCAGAAAAGGCAGGGAGGATGCCACCTGGGTCCAGCAGCATAGGGGGCCAGTGGGCAGGGGTGCAGGGGAAGGCTGTGGCCTCAGGCTCGGGCTGGAGAGGGCACCTCTGCATGCCAGAACGGAGAGACTTGGGGGGTCTTCACACAGCCACACTTAGGGTCTCTATTCTTGTTTAAACAGCAAAACAATGTTTTATCAGGTTTCTATGTGTTCCGGGTAATACTACCAGATGCACACCTGGCAGAGCCCGGTCACGGTCACGGGCTTGACGTCCGTCTGCACGCTGTCTGCTCCTGTCCCAAGCCTTCTGAGAACCTCAGGTGGGACGGTCCACCCTGCAGGCACTACTCTGACGTCAGCCACTCTGTCAGGCCCAGGCTCCCAGGGCTGAGGTTCAAGAGGCAGCTTTCCACTCCCCAATGGCTCCTGTCCTCTATCAACCCTGGACTTTGCCGACCCCTACTTGGGCCCTGAAGCCTGTGCCGACACCCTGTCCCTCGTGGAAGCCAGGCTCCCTGTGACCACTCCTCCTCCGTGTAGCATGGCCAGATTCCCAAGCCCAGCTGTCTGCAACACCCGTGGCTCTCTATCCTGCGTGCAGCGTGGGTGGGAGTCCTCAGTGGGAAGTCTTTTGTAGAGTGGGCAAGGCCAGGTGCCCAGGGCTGCCCACAAGAGCCTGGCCCAGATCCCTGTGTCTCCCTGCTCTTTCCTATTTGGAACCCAACCTCAGCTGCCATCTGCTCGCCATCTTGTGGTTCTACTGCAGGAGGAACCTGGATGGAGAGTGGCCAGAGCCTGTCTGGTGGGTCCAGCCCTGGACTGTCCTGGTGCAGTGCTGTCCACAGGGGCCTGCATCTGCTGTGCTTCCTCTTCCATCCAGGTGAAACCCAGCGCCCACCCTCTGACGGGCTTTAACTTACTGCCTGATGCTCTCACCTCACACCTGTCTGTCCCAGTGGGAGGAGCCATGTGAGGAGCCTGTTTGTCCTCCTCATGTGGGACAGACTTGAAGGCTGGGTGGTTGAGGCTCAGATGACCACCTCAAATGCATGGTCACGGGCCGTAGGGCGAACCCTGGAGGAATGTGGGGACCCCTGGGCTTCAGACTTCAGGTCAAGTTCTAGCAAAGCTTCCAAATGACCATGTCTCCTCATCCACCCCTGCTCCGGCCCCCGGAAGTCCTCCATTTTGCAATGACCTGGTGCCTCCAGGGAGCATCTCCACCCAGCATGGCCATGTTGTTCTCCGGAGGAGCAGGCTGGGGGACCCGCCCTTGCCAGTCTGCAGCCCGGCCGCTGAGCCTCACTGGGGTGGCTCTGTGTTGGGGAATGGTGCACCTTGAGCTGGTAGGAGCTGCACCCTGCCCCATCCCGGGGCCAAGAGATATGGCCAAGCCTTGGCCACGCTGGCTCAGGGTGCTCCTGCCTGGAAGGGCCTGTGAACTTCCCCTAGACACTGCGTGCTGGTGTGGAGGATCACACTCTGTAGGGCTGTCAGCCTGTGGCACTGCTCCTCAGGGCTGGAACTGACCAGGTGCCACCCAAGGGACCAACAGTCTCCACAGTGGGGGCTCCACCCGGCCCTGCACCCCCAAGCCCTGCTGGGAGGTGGCACCGCTCTGTCGATGTCATTGCCTGCCTTGGAGATCAGCATCCACAAGGTTCAGGGCAGCCGCTATCCACCAACCCCCGCACATGAGTCCCCTGCCCCAGGCCTGGGGGGCAGCGGTAGGCTCTGGGCACCTAGGCAGGCCTTTTTTGAATGTCCGCCGGGGCCGCTCCCCTGGCAAAGCCCCCTCCGGCCTGGTCAGAAGGTTTGACCTTGAGCGTGGGATGCAGTAGCATGACTGGCCTGGGCCACCCTGAGCATAGTGTCCTCTCATGGGCCCCGCAGTCCCTGCAGCAGCACAGCAATGTGGCCCAGGGAGGCGGCAGGGCACCGAGGCTGGGGTGCTGGGACGGAAACTGCAGTGGGGCCTCACAGGTGGCGTGCACGGGTCCTGGAGCCAGGCTGCCATCTTCCTGGGCAGTGGGTGCTGGAAGGTCCTGGCCCCAGGAGGCTGGCCCCTCCAGCTGTTGCCACACATGCTGGAGTCTCCGTCCTGTGGCCCGGCACCTGTGAGAGGCAAAGTGACCTTCTTCTCTCCTTCCTCCCCAGCAACATGGCTGATAGCAAGGCCAAGCCTGCCAAAGCAGCCAACAGGACACCCCCCAAGTCCCCAGGGGACCCTGCCAGGGACAAGGCGACCAAGAGGCTGTCACTGGAATCAGAGGGCGCCAGCGAGGGGGCGGCCGCTGCCCCAGAGCTCAGTGCGCTGGAGGAGGCCTTCCGGCGGTTCGCGGTCCATGGGGACACCCGGGCCACTGGGAAGGAGATGCACGGCAAGAACTGGTCCAAGCTGTGCAAGGACTGTCACGTGATTGACGGGAAGAACGTGACCATCACAGATGTGGACATCGTCTTCAGTAAGATCAAGTAAGTGCACCGGGACCGAGAGGGAGCCCAGCTGCCCAGCCTCCAGAGCGCGGCTCCTGACCCACCACCCGGGGCCCCACCCGTCCTACTGTGGGGGCTAGGAGTGGCCTCTGGGGCATCTGGCCCTGGAGCGGGGTGAACTCTGCTCCGGGTCACAAACAGCTGCTGCACATTGAGTGAGGACAACTCAGATGGGGCTCAGGCCAGCCAGCCCTGTCCTCAAGGGGTGACAGCAGCCCACAGCCGGAAGCCGTGGTGCCGCCTTCTGTGACTTGGCCTGGAAGTTGAGCTGGTGGTCAGAGAGCAGCCGGCCGGCTGTGCAGACAGCGCATGCGCACCGTCTGCGCTCCGTGTGCTCCGCGCTCCGTGTGCTCCGCGCTCCGTGTGCTCCGCGCTCCGTGTGCTCCGCGCTCCGTGTGCTCCGCGCTCCGTGTGCTCCGCGCTCCGTGTGCTCCGCGCTCCGCGTGCGCACCGTGCTGCGTGTTCCGTGTGCTCCACGTGCGTACGCCTGTGTGGGCGTGTGCGTCTGGTGCGCAGCCTTTCAGGACGCTGGGAAGTGTGTCGAGGCGCCTTGCCCCTTCCCCTTTCCTTGGGCATCTCTGAGGCACCTGGACGACGGCTGGCTGCCGCCTCCCCACTGCCACCCCCGGGGAGAGCGGCAGGCCCTGGCCACCCTCCTGCCCTGCACAGCTCCAGCCTGGACCAGCGCGTCTGCTTCAGGTAGTCTGTGTCCAGCCGAGGGTCCTCCTCCCACCTCCCACTTGGCTGCCTTCCCTCCTGCCCGCCTTGGTGACTGAGGCAGGGTTGTCGGTCAGACGCCGGGGTCCTGCTGGGTGGCCCTGTGGGTCTCCGTGGGTGCTGCTTGCTGGGACTGCCCTCCAGCTCTGGGTGGATGCCCAGGGCTTCACACGCCCAGTGCTCAGTGGCTATGCTGCTGTTTCCTGCCTCCGCTCGGAGGAGCCGCGGGCAGGGCAGGGTGCATGTGGTCCCGCTGGTGGCTCCTTGGGCGTCCGCGACTAGGAGGCCTGGCTGGGTGGGTCCTTGGCTCATGCCTCTGTGAGAAAAGATGGAGCTGGTCACATTTGCCACCCTGCTCTGGGCCCGGGGACACGGGGACTCTGCTGCAGCACCAGGCTAGGGTTGGACGGGAAAAGGCCAACGGGGGATTGTATGGCCCAAGGCCAAGGCCCCCAGAAAGGGGCTCCATGGCAGTTAGCTCCGCCAGCCCCAGTGCCAACCTGGCCTTTCCCTGTGTTCCTGGGATTCTGGGGTCTCTGTAGAGGAGGGGCACCTCTGAGCCAGCGTGAATCTGGATGAGCTTCCGGGGTCTACAGCCCATTGTGGTGGTCTGGGGGCAGTGCTCCGTCATGCCAGAGGGGCCATGAAACCCACTCAAATGGGTCTCCAAACCCATACAGTGGACTGGCCTCCTTCCAGTCTCCCCCAGCTCCAGGGGGCTGCACAGGACAATCTGACCCAGAAGGAGAAGCTGGTAAAGCACCAGCCTCCTCGTGGAGACCAGAGGGACAGGGCAGCCTGATGAGCAGGTCTCTCTGCTGGGAATCGAGGCTGGGTTCCTGCCCACCCTCCTCCATGGCAGCTCAGGCTTGTTTCCTCCTGGGGTCTGGGGGTCTGGGGCCAGGATGTGAGGAGGCTGTGGCAGCTCCTGGGCTTGTGGTCATTCTGCCCTGCCATCCACCAAGGAGCCTCGGGTCTAGCCCCAGCTTCCCAGACCCCGACTTCTGCTCTGGCCACAGACCCACTCACTGCCTCCAGGCCCAGGCCTACCCTCTGACGGTACCAGCCCCAGAGGCACCCAGCCCTGCTTGGGAAGGGCCTCACTGGGACCCCCTGTGCATCCTGGACAGCAGCCCCTGTGCTTCTCCCAACTCTTTTTTTTTTTGGGGGGGGGGGGTGCCAGAGATGGAATTCAGGGGCACTTGACCACTGAGGCACATCCCAGCCCTGTTTTGCATTTTATGTACAGACAGGGTCTCACTCAGTTGCTGAGTGCCTCACTTTTGCTGAGGCTGGCTTTGATCTGGCGGTCCTCCTGCCTCAGCCTCCTGAGCCGCTGGGATTACAGGCGTGCACCACTGTGCCCAGCCTCTTCTCCCAACTCTTGCTTCTGCACCGGTCCTGTGCACCAAGTGGCTGTGGCAGCACTGGCTGGGGCCTCACTGCTGTCCACTGCTACCTCCAGAGGGGGTGGCAATGAGAACCTGGGAGGTATGACCACAGGTGGGAGCTGATTCTTCCGTGTGACAAGCCAGGAAGGCCAGGGTCTTGGGGACAGCTCGGAAGGACCCAGAGGCATGCTTGTCCCGGTGCAGCCAGTTTCAGCCCCCAGGCCCCCCAGCTGCCCACAGCTGCAGCTCCTTTGAGGCCGATCTGGGTGCTCGGTGCTTGCTGCCCCCTGGCTCCCTCGGATCTCAGCAAGGCTAGGGGACAGGCCCCCCACGAGCCTCAGCTGGGGAGACTCCCCTGGCTCTTGGGCTCCTGTGTTTCCTGGGGCTGGTCATGGGCTTGGGTCTGTCTGTTCCCTGGAGGCCACCTGCAGCCTCCTTGTAGCAACTGGACTTGCCAGTTGGGTTTGAGTGGACGGTCCCAGGCAGGGATAGGCAGGTCCTGGTCACCAAGTCTGCTCTGGCAGGTGGGCTAGCTGTGGGCAAGGGCCCTGACCTGGACTGTGCCCAGATGATCTGGGGCTAGGGCCTCTGGCACAGGCACTGCCCTCATCCTGTGCCCAGAGCTCTTGCTTGGCTAAGTGGCTGTGCCGTGATGCCAGCCCAGGGAGGGGACTGGGTCAGCTGTGAAGAGGGGCAGCTGCCTCCTGTGGGGCTTGCTGTGGCTGGAGAGCCCAGCCAGGCCGGGCAGGGCTGGCTCCTGAGCACGGCGAGGCCCCTGTCCCCAGTGCTCCTCCGCTGGCAGCTGTCTTTTGAAGCCCCCGTCCGCTCCCCCAGGCCCTGCAGCCTGCTCCGGCATGGACTGTGGATGTGCGAGAGCCCCTCGGGGGAGGCCAGCCGGCCCATGGTGCTCCACTCAGTGTGCCCTCTGGGCTCTCTGGTGTCTTCAGTGAGCCCAGTGTGTCCAGGGTAGTCGGGAGCAGACCCAGGAGCAAGGAGGCCGGAGGTGTGCTCAGGGGACAGCTTCTAGGTGGCTAGGTGAGAGGTGGGAAGAAGTGGCCTTTCCAGGGGCGCATCCAGTCCTTCTGTGGGAAACTGCCTCCCGGTTGCTGCCCGTGTGCCCACACACGGGCATGGAGCGTGGCCGCCTCCCAGGGGGTGGCCCGGGTGCTTGTGCTCCAGAGGCTGGGCATGGCCACCCCGTGTGAAGGGACATGCGGCCTTCCTGCCCCTGGGGCCACTTCAGACTGAGGCTGGGCCCTACTCCAAGGCGTGTCCCACGCTGCATAGACCCCAGGCTGCCCAGGGAACTCAGGGTGCCCCTGCCCTGGAGGTCAAGGTCTGGGGATACGGCCAGATGCAGCCCAAGCCCAGATAGTGCCGAGGTCCCGACATGGCCCCAGGTGGCTGGGCGGTCAGTGCGCAGGGCCCGTGGGCACACTGTGTGCCTCCATAGCTGGTTCAGCAGACAGGTGGCCAGGACAAGAGCCTGGCTAGGCCCAGGGCTCTGGCTCCCTATCTGCCTGAGGATCATAGGGTCTCCCTCAGGGTGCTCCCCACCCTGGGACTATCCTTCCCACGTGCAGCCTGGATTCTGCTGGGTCCCTGTGACCTGGGCCTACCAAGTAGGTCCCTGTCCCTATATCAGGCAGGTCCCCTCCCCTCCCAGGGTGCAGGACGAGAGACCTGAACTCTCTCCCTGTCCTTGGGGAGAGGGAGACTGGCCTGGCAGGGTTTTGGGGGTCAGCAAGGTCAGGGGGAAGAATGACCTGGGACAGAGTGTTGGGGTCTTGCAGAAAGGCTGGAGAAGTGGGGTCAGGGGATGGCCAGGGTTTTCCCGGAAATCATGGGGTGCTGACAGGCTGTGTGTGCCCGGCACTTGGAAGTGGTGTCCACAGCCCTCCAGGGCTTGGGGACCCCGAGGAAGCACTTAGGTACCGCCAGGAAGTTGCTGACTGACAGGGCTTGGGAGAGAAAAAGTTCACTATTTCTGTTTTCAGGGCAGGTTGCCATGGCTCCGCGGGCGTGGCGCCAGCTGGGGTATCTGCAGCCTTTGTTTGGGTCCCTGTCGCCATGGCAGCGCTTGTTTGTTTTGATGTTACTATGTGTTAAATTTTAAACAAGTTTCTCTCAGCTCTCCGCCAGGCTTTATTGAAGACTACTGTTAACCTAGACACCCTCCTGCACAGAGCTCGGCCGGCCTGACTCTAAATGGTTAATGGAGACCTCAGGCAGGCCCAGGGTGGGGTCCATGGGCCCTGGGGCATGGACCGCAGGTCTGTGTGTGCCTGGGCAGGGTGCGTGGGAGCCACAGGGTCTGCTGGCACCTGCCTTGAACACCGTGCTGCCAGGTGGGGAGGCCGAGGGCCAGACTTGTTGACTGGGAGTGTGGCCTGCAGTCAGGGCTCACCACTTCCCACCAACACCCACGTGGGGGCTGTGTGATGGCCAGTTTGCCCTCTGTAGGGCCAGTGCCCACTGTAGAGAGCAGGGTCGGGCCCCAAGGGCTTGCTGGCTGCCGCTCGTATAGGTAGCTGCCTGATGCCGACCCTAGGCCGTGGCCAGTTGGACCTAAAGGACATCGTCCGAAGTCTGCAGACAGCTGGGCACAGGTCCCAGAAGCAGGCCCAGGCCCAGGAGAGCCCCAGCCAGGTGTGTTGCAGGAGGGGCAGATGCTGGGTGCCCTCGGTATGCCCGCACATCCCGGAAAGCCAGGAGACACCCAGCCCTGCTCACCTCTGCACCCACCCTGGGGCGCCCCCTTCCTCAGGCTCTGCTTACTGGGCCTGGGAGCAGGCAGGGCTGACACAGCCACATGTCCCAAGGGAGGGTGAGCACAGGGCATGGGGCAAGACCCAGGATCTTGGTTCCAGGAGCGGAGCGTGGCCTCCCTTCCCATTGCTGAGCAGCCCCCTAGTGGCCACCTGTGGCAGTGCCGAGACCGTGGCTTCTTCCTGAGGGGAGGCACCACAGTACTGTGGGGCGGGGGGCACTGGAAAAGTCGTGTGCAGCATATTTGGCTAAGGGTCTGGGGGCTGGTGGTCCTGTGCCCTGGTGAGTCAAAGAGGAGGGAATGGGGCAATTCTGGTGACAGTGTCCACCTTACCTTGTAAACCAGCTGGACAGTGCATGCAGGCCATGTAAGGAATGACCTTCCCCAGACACCCAGAATTGTCAGGCCCCCGAGGTCACGGGTTGGCGTGATGGAGGCAGCAGCCCCAGGCCTCCTGGCGGAGCGGGCCCCTGTGCCCAGGCCTGGTGAGAACCTCGAAGGCACCAGGCACAGGAACCAGGAGGCACTTTAAGGATGGCTTATTTCCTCTTCAGAGGGAGGTAACAACATTTTGGACCCAGGCGACCCCTGGAGGCAGGTTGGTGATGGCTCGCGGTCAGATCTCTGGAACTTGAGCAGCCCTAGTACAGCCCCGGCCCAGTGGCCTGGGGGTCCTAGTGGGACCTCAGCAGGGTCATGGCCTGACCTCTTGGCTGGTGGATGGTCTCGCTGGTCAGCTGAGCCTGAGGGGTTTCCTAAGTGGTCTGGCTGTTGTGGTCACCTGGAGACCCTGGAGAGCTCTGATCCAGCCTCAGCCTCAGCCTCATCTTGGTATGGATCTTGGGGCTGGGTCCTGGGGGAGGCAGGGGCAGTCAGTGGGCATGGGGGAGCCCTGGGCCAGTGCTTGGGCGGCTCCACAGTCTAGCAGAAGTGTGGGCAGCTTCCAATCCTGTCCACCCCGGCCCTGAAGAAGCCCCAGGTAGGGTCCACGCCCAGCCCAGGGCCAGGGGCGGTGTCGTGGAGCTTCATGCCTGCGTGACCAGCCTTCTTGCTCTGACCCTCCAAGTGCAGGGGCAGCTCTGCCCTTACCACAGCCCGCTCTCTCCCGGTAGTGGCATCTGGCTGGTGAACCCCTCCTCAGAGGTCCCTTGGGGATCCAAACTGTCACAGAGCCAGGGAGCCCAGGAGAGCCAGCCGCCTTCTCTGAACCCCAAAATTATCTCTGATCACCCATCCCTGTAGAGAGGGATCCTCTCATAAAGGTGCCTTGGAAGGGGCTGGGGGCTTTGCATAAGCCCAGAGCTGGAGGGTGGGCCCTGGAGGTGCAGGCCTCTGAGCTCAGTATTGGCCCCAGCGTGGTTCCTGCAGCCCCTGCCAGGCCCCCCGTCAGCCTGGGACACACAGGCAGGCGACTGGAGCGCTGGGTGTGAGCAGAGGCCACATCCCGCTGGGCTGGCTTTGGAGCAGGGCTCCGACTGAGAGGCCGGGGCAGGGGAGCCCCAGCTCTGGGGAGACCCGCAGTCCCAGGGCTCTACAGAACAGGCTCACTGTGTCCAGAGAGCCCTGGAGTGACAGGCATTGTGTTCCTAGACTCACTGGGGACTGCTGTGGGCAGAAGTGCTGGGTCCCCTGGGGACAGCTCTGTGAGCTTGGGGGCCGAGACTGGGGCTCCCTCTCCTCAGCAGCACTGTGGGGCTCCTGGTGCAGCAGAGCAGGCATCCAGCCCCATCTGAATGTGGCCTCTGATGGGGGGCCCCCCAGCCCCCCCCCCCCGTGACTCGTGCTGGTGGTGCCTGGTGCGGTGGTCACCCGCAGAGGGCTGTGTGCCTCAGTGGTAGGTCACAGGCTGGCCGTAGGCCTGGCATTCACATGTCCCCCCCAGCAGGCCAGTGAGCAGGAGACAAGAGTGGCTTTGACAGCCCGGGACAAACAGAGAGGCCCCCAGGGCCCAGAGAGGACAGCAAGGCTGTCAGACCCAGGCACTGGGTTGCAGGGTCCAGCAGCCCAGGGCGGCTGGTTCAGCCAATATCACAGGGGACAGCTGGCACATGCAAGCTGTGAGCTTCTGGGGGCTACAGCCTCCCCCCACTACACCACTGAGCCCCTTTCCCCAGCAGATAGTTCTAGAATGTTTTGGGGGGCACAGTCCCGTTGTGGGGTCTCAGTGATCCTCCCTGGAGAGGCATAAGGGTCCTGGCTACAGGATCTGGGGCCTCCCAGTGGGGGACATCTCCCCCCCTCAAGTTCAGCTCTTTTCTTGACCTGAGGGCGTCTGATCCACATGTCTCAGGTTTTCAGGGAAGAGTGTGCGCGCTCCAGGCTCTGGAAGATACGGGTTCTGTGGGGAGCCACGTGGAGGCGTCTCCACGTCCAGCTCCTCAGCCTGGCCACTTGGGGTCCAGTGTCCCTCTGGGCATCACTCATTTGGTGTCCACATGCCACAGTGTATTTGCAAGTCCAGTGTGGAAGGACTTTTGGGTTTTTAGATTTGAGTGACTGTGACTAAAACTGTGACAGCATTCACATGGGGCTAGGTGAGGGCCAAATCTTCATCTCTCGGGGGGCCAGAACCGAGGGAGGGGGCTGTGGGACCCATGGTGCTCACCTATGCAGCCCCCCAGACCCCAGTGCTGTACCTGGCACTTCCTGCAGGCAGGCCCCTGCACACGGGGCTGCAGAGTCACCTGTGCATCTGTGCAGTCCCCGTCTTTCCCTGTGGAGGGCGGAGGGCAACATCTCCTGGCTTGGTAGACATCTGTGTCTCTGGGGCGGTTTGATATTTGGAGACATTGCCCACTCTTGTTTCATTAATGCAGCGTGTGCAGTTATTTCTGGGAAACCTGTACTGACTCACGCATCCTCTCCCCAGTGTGCTGAGTTTCAGGGGCACTGGGATGTGTCTGAGTGGACACAGGTGGGGCCAGGTGTGGGTCGGAGGGATCTGGTATGTGCAGGTGTTGCCGTCCCCCTGGCTGGCCTCATCCCGGTGCACAGTCCTGGGGGACTGTGCACTCAGTTCTCCGACTTGGCTCTCATTTTTTAAACCATTCTGACTGTGCTGGGTCCCCTCTCACCCTTGCCAGCGTTCACTGTCCGTTGTCTCTTGGGCCCTGGACGTTTGGGGCTTGTAAGTGGGCAGCCACAGTTGCTTGGCCCCTCCAGGCGGCCTGTGTCTGGCTGGTGTACTAGTATTCCCCAGTGCTGCGCAGGGTCCTCTGCAGACCTGAGCCTCATCCAGAGTTCAGACATTGAAAAACTCACTAATTTGGATTAGTTGGGACAGATCCTATCAAAGTTGAAAAATGTTTTTAAAGCAAAATTGTAAGGTAAAGAAAACTTTGGAACATTTTCAAGTTGCCTGGATGACCTCCTGAGGGAGGACGTGGTGAAACTGTGGGATGTGTTTGGGCACACTGTGTCTGGACACATCATGGCTCTGGCTATTCTAACCTAGAGCCACCAGCTGGCTGACTGTACCCCATGAGGGCAGGGGAAACAGGGGACCCAGGGAAGGGCCTCGGTGCCAGGTGTGGGTTAGGGAGGCGACTCCACCGGCCACCGCAGAGTGTTGCCGGGCTCCTTCTGGGTGGCTGGCTGCTGGTGGCAGTGTGCAGTGCTTGTTGCCCGTGGCCACTGCGTGCCCCGGGTTGCCAAACAGCAGGCGTGGGGACGCACGCTGGCTGGGCAGGGGCCGTCTTGGGGGTGTCTGCTCCCATGCTTATGGGGCCTGCCCGCATCCACAGAGGGAAGTCCTGCCGGACCATCACCTTCGAGCAGTTCCAGGAGGCGCTGGAGGAGCTGGCCAAGAAGCGATTCAAGGACAAGAGCAGCGAGGAGGCGGTTCGCGAGGTGCACCGGCTCATTGAGGGCCGTGCGCCTGTCATCTCAGGGGTCACGGTGAGCAGGGCTGGGTCTGGCTGGGCGGGGCCCGGTGTGGGTGGGGCCGGGTTCCCACAGCCCCTGTTCTCGGGTGGCCACTGGTTGCAGTTAGAGGCGTGCAACCCTCGAACATCGGGCAGCTTGAAGGACTGCCAGATCCGTCACCCCCCACCCAGGACTGAGCAGGCGCAGGGGAGGTGGGTGTGTCCAGACCTCGGCCCTGCTGAGTCACCGGCCAGTGGCTGTCCTCAACTGCCTCCTTGCTTAGCTCGCATTAACGCTCTTCTCCCCACTTTCCCCCTGCAGAAAGCCGTGTCCTCGCCCACCGTGTCGCGGCTCACGGACACGACCAAGTTCACGGGCTCCCACAAGGAGCGCTTCGACCCATCGGGCAAGGGCAAGGGCAAGGCTGGCCGCGTGGACCTGGTGGATGAGTCAGGCTACGTGCCTGGCTATAAACACGCAGGCACCTATGACCAGAAGGTGCAGGGGGGCAAGTAGCTGCACCACACCCTGGAGACGCTGGGGACGCGTGAGGCGCGTGCCCGACTGGTACCCCGTCCCACTTCATCACATTCCTTTGCACACTGGGCAGGACTCATGGACCTTGGCCTTGCCTGCTGGGAAGGGGACACCCAGGCTACCTCCTGCCCGGCAACACCTCTCAGACCCAGGTTTGGGTCCTGATTCACTGACCCTTCCTAACGCAGTTGTCTCGTCCAGAACTGGGAAGTGGATGGTCCTTTTCAAATTGTCCCCCAGGACTGTGCCACACTGGATACCTGCTTGCAGGGAAAGGGGCATTTTGGGAGCTGTTAGGTGTGGGAACAAGTGGGGCAGACCCTGTCAGAGGCCCTACTGACCTTCTGACACCTTCTAGGAGCCTCTTAGGCAGTAGGAGTTAACAAACTAACCAGCAGCACAAATAAAACTGCTACCCCAGCAGGACGCAGGCAGTGTCCGAGGCGCCCCACGAGCAGGGGCCACAGCCCTTCATGCTTTCCTGGCAGGGCGTGTGGCAGGCCACACATGCAGTGCCTGTGGACAGGTCTGTGCTGAGGGCAGCGGGGTGAGAGGCAGGCCAAGGAGCCACAGCAGAACCTTGGGCTGCCCAGGGAGTGGCCTGGGAGTGAAGCGGGCAGTTCCTTCCCTTTGCTGTCCTAGCAGTGATGAGCAGTGGTGACCGCTTGTGCTTAGAGTGGTCCAGGGGCTCAGCTCGCCCTGCTGTGTCACCAGCCAGACTGGGGATGTGTGGTGCAGAGCCCACGCAGTGGCCTCGGTGCGAGGGAGGGCCTCTCCGGGCTCTCCTGCGTGGCTGTGCTGGCTCTGCCCGGCTTTGCTTGCAGCCTCCCTCAGTGAGGGTCTGTGCAGCGTCCTCAGCTCTCCGTCCTCCCGACACCCCACAGTGCAGGACGCCAAGCCTCAGAACCAGGGAGATGCCAGGCCAGTGGCATTTTCTGGGGTTTCTTTTTCTGCCATGGGCAGCTGAGTGCACAGGGCCAGTGCAGAGCTGGCCCAGGACCCTGCCACCCACACCATAGGCCGCCACGTGCAGCCCCTGCTCAGTATTGTGCAGGCACAGGGACTGAGCGTTCCTGTGCCATACTGAGGCTAAGAGGCGTGTGCCACGACTGTCACCAGGGCCCACAGCAACCCGCGGGGCTGTAGTCCTGGGAAGAGCCTATGGCAGCCTGGGGAAATGCTTCCAAGAACCTGCTTGTTCTTGGCCACTGACTGTCCGGATAGCTGTTCAGGTGGACTCTCAGCCCAGCCCACAGCACAGGCAGACAGTAAGGCCCTCTTCCTGCCATGGCAGGTGGACATGCCACCCACCTCTCCTGAGCCTGAAGAGTGCCCAGTCACAGCTGCAGCCCCGTGGGGGCCAGACCCCAGCCCCTGAGCAGAGCAGAGCAGAGCCCTTGGTCCCAGCTGATAGTCCCTGAGTGCTGAAGGCTCCCCGAGTCCCCCAACACTGATGGCCTCCATGAGGATGGGGTGGCCCCAGCAGACAGCATCCTTCTGAGGTCCTGGGAGACCAGGTGCCTGGCAAGGATGACAAGGGGAACTGGGTCTGAGGCTTTGGGACTCCCTGTGGGTGTCATCTCGCTGCTCTGGGGAGAAGCTGCCAGGTGCCCAACCCCAGCCCAGCATTCCAGACTTCAAGCTGGTCTTTTGTGTGAATAGATTAGAGGCCAAAACAACATGGGAAGTGTTGGACACCAGCTCTGTGCAAAGTGTTAATCTCACCACTATCCCCACAGCCCTGTATTCAAACTAGCAGCAGTATTCATCAGTGGTCTCCCCAGTCCCCCAGTCCCCGGGCCCCGGAACACCCACACCCTCCTGGCTCTTGCCCTCTCCAGCACCCCTGATTCCCAGGGGGCCCCCGTGGCTGGCCATCTCTTGGTCTGAGGCTGCTCTTCCCCCTTTCTTCTGCCTGTGAAGCTTAGTTCCCATCATCATGGCCAAGCCGGGCAACAGTCCCTACAGGCATGTGCCCTGGGCCAGGGTAGAGGGATGGGCCAGGGGGGCACCCAAGGGGTCCTGTACCACGTTATCAGGTATGGATGCTCCCTGGGACCCCACAGTCTGTGTGGAGCACCAGGACACTGTCTGCTGGTCAGTGAGTCACTGTCGGACAAGGACGACTCAGACCAAGTCGTGGGCTGGCTTGCTGCAGGAACACAGGAAACTGGATCCACGCAGAAGCAGCCATCTCAGTGCCATCCTCAGGGGACCCCAATCCCCCGTGACTGGGCACTCTGTCCACGCAGCCAACACCTCATGAAATCACTGCCCACAACTGGACAGAGAAGCACAGACTGGCAGGGAGGGCCACACGTCCCAGGCTGCAGAGTGCCAGCCCCAGCCAGCTCTGGCTCCTGAAGGCGCGCCCCTTGCCAGACCAAGTCCTCTCACTTCTCATGAGAACTGGAGAATGCATTCCTGGTCACCATAACAAATCCTTGGGTTTTATTGACGAAAAACCTTGGTGGCCCTCCACATCCCAGCCTGGTATGCCCTCGGGCTTGTGGCAGGAAAGCCCAATGCGCTAGGCTGTCCCATCACATGGTACTCGTGGCACCTGGCACATAGCACTGCATCAGACGAGTGGTTCCCATTTTGTCCCCAACAGGTTCCAGGGGCTTCCTCGGACACACGTGGGTAAGGACCATATCCTTCTCTGGTCAGTTTCAGACTGTAGCTTTGAAACACACCCTCCCTTCCCACCTGTGTCCCTAGCAAGGAAAGGGCAGTAAAAACCAACCCAGGAGACTTCGTGGTCATCACACTTTAAAACTGGGCTCTGGACGCCGTGAGCTGTGGGCAGGTCCCGCCTCTGTCGCGTGGTTTCTCAATGCCAGGTAGCTTCTACTAACCACGGTTCACAGGGGCAAACGCACCTGTGAGTAAAAGAAACTGCACAGCAGGCAACCCAAGACACAGGGACACGTTCTGTCAGGAGGTGACTCTCAGGAGACAAGGACAGGTTCTCTCAGGTGACATTCTGTCGGGAGGTAACATCCAGGAGACAGGGATGAATTATAAGGAGACACTGGTGACACCCAAGAGAGAGGGGCAGGTTGTCGAGGTGGACGGAGCTGACGGTGTGTCCCCCTCAGGGAAGGAGGCGGTAGGAGAGTGGTGGGGAGTGCTGATCCTAGCAGAGGCGTATTTACTTGTGTTTACTGCTTTAGGATAAGCACCTAGTAAGTGGTCTGTAAGGGTCGCAGTGGTTAGCTCTACCAAAATCAAAGTTCAAGTGATGTTTAAAAATATTATAGCAAAAGATATATATTTATACTGGAGTATTTTTACACCTTTGATATCCTTGGTCTTATGTTTGAGGGCAGACGACAATGACAGCAGATGCAGGGACATTTTGAAAAGGCACCTTAGTGGTTCAATCTGCATGATTCCTGCCACCCCCCACCTGTTTGTCACCCCTCCAGGGTCTGAGTGGCTGGCAGCTTGGGGCAGGCGATGGGCAGCCTGGGTGGCTGCAGCTGCCTCCCACGGCCACACGGTGCGCTCAGTACTGGCTACAGCTGCTCTGGCACCGTGGCAGGACTGGAGGGAGTGTGGCTGGAGGGTGCCAGGGCTTGGACACCAATAGCATTTACACCTGTCCCTTTACGGGGAAGCGCGTCTGCCTGTCGGCTACTTCCTCCCACAGGGCACACGCAAGCCCGCTGCTCCTCTGCCCCACAGCGCCTGCCACATGAGGACAACCTGTGGTCACTGCTCAGTACAACAAAGGGTGACAACTCAGCTCTACTGTGAAGTTATCGGTAGGCCAGACGCCCATGAACACTGTACTGCTTACCCTCCCTCCACTGGCTGACCACTGAGGAGTCGGTGAGCTCTGTGTTTCAGGGCATGACCTGTCCCTGGGACGGGATGGGAGTCGGGCGGGACAGGCCTTCTTATGTTAACCATCCCTCTTCCTTTAGACCTCTTAACAACTAAACCAAGCCAAACGACAAAGGAAACTTGCACAACCTAAAAGAAACTTGAAAGGGATAATATACTACTAGTTTGTACTAAGTTTTTTCAAGAAATGGAAACAAATTTATGTATATATATGCAATATATTTTTACACGATTTTATTAACGTTAAGGAGAACCGAGCGTATCACTTTATCAGTGTGATGGGTAATGTTGGTGTCTGGGTGTTCCGACTCAGAAAGGCTCTTCTGCTGATGTCTAAATCACACTCACCAGGAAGGTCTCTGGGGTCCTGAGGCCCTGCTGTCCCTCCCACAGAGCGCAAGGCACCATGTCACCTGTTGGACTTGCTTTCGTGGCCTGGCCTGTAAATTTTTAGTGAAACAGCTCCTGTCTGTCTGCACATTTCTCCTGTGTGTGTGCTGTCGTAGCATCGTGTGTCATTGGTAAAGTGATGAATAAAGGTGTTACAACATGGGTCTCCTGCCTTCCTCAGAGTGCACACTGCCTGTGCTAGCGTCACCTCCTGGCAAAGTGGGCCTGACATTCTAACCCTAACATCCACCACCGGGAACACCCCAGAAGAGACTGCAGAGGGGCAGGAGGATCCTCTGCGCTGCATGCACAGCACACAGGCCCTGGGTTATCGTTACCCAAGGGAGCCTTTTGCTTCCTGGCTGGGGCTGACCACACAAGGGCAGGTGAACAGCCAGCCGTCTATCACCACCAACCACCCAGCTACCTCCAAACTGGGCATGACATCATCAGCAGGATGCCACAAAACCCAAGCCGACCTGGAACACTAGCCCAACAAAACAGCTTCCAAAGAGGATAAAGGCATTTTTAGTTAACAAAAGAGACTTTGCTACCGTTAGACATAAAGGAAATTCTAAAGCAGAAAGAGTCACCCAAGCAATATCTGGGATGTGAAGAGAGCAGAACAAAGAGAATAAACAGTCCAGTAATTCAAATTTCAGTGACCATACGAAGACTTCCTGTGAAACTAAACATGTCCAGCAAATACCTGGGGAGCCCGGGGTGGGAGGCGGCAGGGTGCTGAGGAGGTGAGCAGGCGCGCAGCCTGGAGTCAGCACACCTTCCACCAGAGGCGAGGAGGCAGAGGTAAGGCACAGCCTGCTTGGCAGCTGCTGGGACGTGGCACAGCAGCTGGACCTCTCCTCCCGACACCCCTCACCTTGTGTGGCAAGGTCTTGCTTGAACAAGGGGATATCCCTACATCTGCCACCCTGACACAACTTCAAAGGCTGAAGCCACTGAAATGCCATCGAAAATATAAATGTTATGCCTGAAAATTAAGAGCATGAGGGCCAATTCCTAGACCACCAAGGAGCAGCACTCAAGGGCAGCAGAAAGCCTGCACAGCCCTCCGACTGGGTGGTAGCTGCCTGCCCCGCTGGAAACCCGCAGCGGCTGACAGGTGCATCGAGTTCTCACACAAGCCCACCTGGGGTCAGTGAGAGATCTTTTCAACAAGAATGTTCTCCCTGTCCTTGTGATGTGGCTACCAAGGTCCCTGAGGACAAGGCAGCTGTCAAAACGGCCCACAGCCTCTTCTCTGCTCAGCTCTGACAAGACACACCCCAGTTCTCAAAGACTGCTGCTAGTCACGTGGCTGGATTCTCTGTGAAAACACTTAAGTAAAGTGCCTCACTAGTCCAAATTGTCCCCCCACACAACATTCCAGGCCCAAATGACTTCACTGGCTAGCTCCACCAAGTGTCATGGATGGAATGATTATAATTGTGAACAGACTCTGGAACACAGAGAAGGAACGCACAGCCCGACTCATGATAGTGTACTTATGCAAATCCCAAAAGGAGCAGATATCTTAGGATATCCTAAGACCCTGTCACCTCTGAAGCAGGACAGTCATCATCGCTATCTAAGCCATGATTACCCAGCACTTACTGTATGTTAGGTACTGTCCTAGAACTTAATCATACCACTTACTGAAGAAATCAGGGCTCAGTAAATTTGTGAAATGCAAAAGGTCAAAAATAGCCAGACCTCCTGATGGAAGGGAAAGGTGTGGAGACCGGTGGGCAAGGCGGATGTGGAGGCCTTCAGCACCGGGGTGGAAGTGCCTGGACCCAGCTGAGAACGACAGAAGTGGGTCCTTAGCCACCCCAGCCCGTGCAGAAGTCCACTCTAGGTGAAAGGCACCCCTGGACCCAAGTCCACTCTGCAGACTCCTTTGGAGGGGAACTGTGGGCACCTCATGCTGGGGCCCAGGAACAGCACAGGGACTTCTCACTGACTCCACTCCAGCACCGAAGGTGCTGGCCGCCGCCTCCCTCTGCAGGCAGGCACTCCGCAGCCGACAGGCTCAGGAACACACACCCTGCAGCACCGCAGCAAGGCCCCTGGTCTTGGGGTCAGGCCATTCGCCTGAGCCGCTGGCAGGACTGGGGAAAATGCTACTGGCTTATCATGGTGCACCCTGCAAAGGCAGAGGTGAAGAGGGGCGCAGGGCCAGGTAAGTGGGAAGGTGCAGGGCTCCACGCACTCTCTGTGCCACCCTTGGGAACCTCCTCGTGCTCAGCTCCGCAGAAGTCCCCAGGCCTTGTTTCTTCAGGTTTCTGTGGAAGCTTCGCTAGGCGGGCATGACTGACTACATGGCTGATGGGTCCTCCTCCCGCCCTGGGGCTGTGGGGGAGGCTGAAACCCTCAGACCTACTGTGCTCTTTCCTATACTGGCCCATTCTGAAGCTACCGAAGGGCAGACAACAGTCAACACATCAGCACCCAAAAGACCCTTGAGAGATCTAAGGGCTTTAGAAGCTGGATGTCAGGAAGCTGGGCAGAGACTGGATGTGTATTTCACAATATCACAATGACTATGAAAAATGGTTTTTTACAATTAGATCCAAAATGCTGATAATTGGGCTGATAATTGGACCATATCAAAGTCTGAAATTCCTCTTAAGAAGTGCTATTAAAAAATGAAAAGCAGCATCCAATTATGAGTGCAACCCACAAAGCACCAAGCTCAGGATACAGGCTAAGCGTTCCTCAACCACGTTGCCTGGACCACAGTATTTCAGATTTCGGAATATTTGCATAGATGTTACTGGCTAAGTATCCCTAATCCAACAATTCAACTTTTTTTCATGCAGTGCTGGGGATGAACCCAGGGCCTCACACATGCCAGGTGTACAGTAATCACGGAGGCACATCTGGACCCTGATATACTGAAAAGTTTTCAGATTTTGGAGCACTCTGGATTTTTCAATCAGAGAAGCTCAGCCTATAACTAAGTCTTGCAAATAAACAGGAAACAGACTATCCAACAGAAAACAGGGAAAGGACTTGAACAGTCACTGCAGAAAAAGAAATCCAGATGACCCGTATACCCAGAAAAAGGCCAATCAAACCCCGGGAAGTGCACTGCACGCCTTCTAGAGATGGTCTTACGGGTTGCTGGTGGTTCACTTAGTGAACAGTCTGCATTACCTGGTGAGCTGTCCTGGGCATGGTCAAGGAGTTAAGGGAACAGGAACACAGTGGGAAACAAAACCTTAAGAACAAATGGCATCTAAAAGCTAAAATACACACAATCATGATGATAAAAACTAACTGCCTGCCCAGGCCTAAGCTGGATTAAGCATGAAGAAGAGGAGCTCAGCAACTTGCGACCGACCAGCAGAACAACCCTAAGTGAAGCCCTGAGGCAGAGGATGGGAAAGACAAAGGTGCTGGAGGACGTGGCAGCGTCATGGTCTCACGTGAGCTAGAGACCAGGGCAGGGGCAGGAAAGGCGAAGTTTCCCAAGAACCCCCACAAGAGGAACATGCTGGCATGGTGGGCATTCTCTACAGGCTTAAAATGGACTAGTGCTAACATCTTCTGAGACTTCCAGGACCCCACCCCATGCAAAAACCAGTCTGGCATGACATTTTCTAGCAAGTCCAGACACTGATGCTGATGGATCCAGCCATGACAGGTGTCAGGAAGGGCACCTGAGGCTCACTCCCACCTCTGCCCACTCACACCACGCCACACCCAGCCAACACAGAGCACCTTCGTCTGCCTGCTCTTTCTTGCTAAAGCAAACATAGTTTTAAAAAAGTCACTTTGTTTTACCAAAGCAAGGATTACATATGAAGTAAGCCTCCAAACTAAAAACCTATTTTTATGTCCTGATATGATATAATTTTCAGAAATACACTGCAAGCAAAAGTCAGGTCTTGAGTAGATGTTTTTACTATGACATGTTAGTATCATAAAACAATATTTTTAAGTATTTCTCACATCTTACAAGTATTACTCTTATTAAGTCTTGGAATTTATTATTTCGCACTCCCTCTCCATGGTATGTAGTCTGTTTTCACCAAAGAATTCAATGAGAAACTCATTTGTAATTTATAAAGAGCCACTTAAAACTTAACTTTTCAGAACAATATGAGTTCTATTGAGGAAGGCTTGTCACACAAAAGGTTACCATCTTAATTATTATACATAGATATCTCTTATGTTAGGAAGAAAAACTGCATTTACTTCATCTTAGGATATTTGATGCAAACATGGTTTTTGTCTCCTAACATGCAAAGGCCTAGGATTCATCCTATCATTTTAGGACATTTTAGAAAGCTGAACTATAAACCCTGAATACCTTTCAAGAATCATAAGGTAATTACAAACAGAAGAGACAGATCTCACCAGCAAATGAAGGTAGAGAAAGACAAAGGTGCAAACCATGAGGCTGTGACAGACAGTGAAAGAAATCACGACTCTGGGCAGCATCAGCAGGACTGGCGGCCACCAAGGCTGGCGCTGCGGGGCGGGAACAGGGCCGTGGTCTTCTTGAGCTCCTGGAAGCTCCAGTGCATCTGTTCCACCTCAGCCCTGTGCTGTGCCCGCACCCGGCCCAACTCTTGCAGCAGGTGCTCGTTGGTGCTGACCAGGGAGCTGCAGGACCACAGGGAGAGGCCTGCTAAGCTCCTCAAACGCAGGGCCTCTGCCACCCTCCCCGCAGCACTGTCCTTCCCGCCACTGCCTGGCCCACAGCCCATCCCTTGGCCTTTTCTGAGTCAGGTTCTCTCTCTTCCCAGCAATACCCAGGTCCACCACCTGATCATGGCCTGGTCATCTCCCACTGGCCACTGTCCATCTGTTCTACCCTTCCTGATCAGAATGAGCTGTGCCCACTTCACCCCTGGCTCAGCCAACGGGCAGATGAATGGCTCCTTCAACATGTGCCATGTGTGGGTCTTTGACAAGATTATGAAGCCCTTTATGGCCAGCAGAATAACGTCCTAACTCTACCAAGGACCCAGACTGCCACTCCTCCAACCCCCAGTCAGCGTGTTGATTCTGACAGGCGACGAGGTGATGGAAACCCCATTATCACACTTCCCGGCAGAGGGCTCAGGAAGTGCTGCACACTTCACCCTCTCTTCACCTCCAAGCTGCTGTGGTGACGTCTGCCGTTCACCACAAAGAGAGTACCCCACTGACCAATCCACTGAGTAGGCCCTAGACAGCTAGCATGAGCCCAAGGCAAAGCCCATCCCTCTGCATTTAGATGCTCTGCACCTGCCCTGCCCACAACTGAGCTGTGGACCCTGAGCTATGGTCCTTGAGGCATGGACCCTGAGCTGTGGACCTCGAGACATGGACCCTGAGCTGTGGACCCTGAGGCATGGACCCTGAGCTGTGGACCCTGAGGCATGGGCTCTGATTCTGACAGCTTGTCGCGAGTCAGAATCAACACGCTGACTGGGGGTTGGAGGAGTGGCAGTCTGGGTCCTTGGTAGAGTTAGGACATTATTCTGTTGGCCATAAAGGGTCTTGTAATCTTGTCAAAGATCCACACATGGCACATGTTGAGGGAGCCATTCACCTGCTCGTCCCCATGACCTGCTGAGGACAGCCTGTCAGGTTCCAGGACAGAACCAGCCTTGCCTGGCTGCCCTGCCCTACGATGGCACACAGTCTCAGGGCCCACAGCTCAGGGTCCACAGCTCAGGGCCCACGCTTTAGGGTCCACACCTCGGGGTCCACGCCTCAGGGCCCACACCTCAGCCACGTCTGGGGACATCACTTCAGCTCACACCTCACGGCTCACACGTGAGGCTACATGCTTCCTGGGTCACACCTCCAAGTCCACAGCTCTTAGCCACCACCATGCCTCAGGAACCACCTCTCATAGAGTGCAGATGCAGGAAGGGCCTGGGCAGGCACCTGTGGCTCCCCCCTCAGCTCCCCCCAGGGCTCGTGGGCAGGCGCCTGGGCTCCCCCCTCAGCTCCCCCCAGGGCTCCTGGGCAGGCGCCTGGGCTCCCCCCTCAGCTCCCCCCAGGGCTCCTGGGCAGGCACCTGGGCTCCCCCCTCAGCTCCCCCCAGGGCTCCTGGGCAGGCGCCTGGGCTCCCCCCTCAGCTCCCCCCAGGGCTCGTGGGCAGGCACCTGTGGCTCCCCCCTCAGCTCCCCCCAGGGCTCGTGGGCAGGCGCCTGGGCTCCCCCCTCAGCTCCCCCCAGGGCTCCTGGGCAGGCACCTGTGGCTCCCCCCTCAGCTCCCCCCAGGGCTCGTGGGCAGGCACCTGTGGCTCTCCTGCAGCATCTGGGTGAGCTCCTGGATCTTGTCATAGTGCTCCAAGTGCTGCTTCAGCTCCAGCACCTCACCAGAAAGCCGCTTCATACTCGCCTGGAGTCCTGACCAGGAAGGGGCAGCCGTGTTTAGTGAGATGCACTCACACCCGGAACACCAGTGCACACTGGCTCTGGGCCTCCAGGCAGTGGGCAGACATTGAGGCTCTGCCTCTCCCTCCCCTCTGTGTGTTTGCAGCTGGGGGTCAGCCCTGCACACACCCCTGAAGAGCCACGTCCTCACGCAGAGGACGTGCAATGTCCCTTTCGCTGGATCAGCCTGCTGGTGGACGTCCCTCCCACAGGAAGGAAGCTGCGCCCTGAGGGGAGTCTGTGGCTTGGGAAGGGGCACTGGAAAGCTGGCGAGGCCCACGGGCCACGGCTCTAATTCCACAGCCATCAGTGACAGAGATGAGTGCAGCTTCCATCCACACAGCTCTGTCTCTGTTTCCAACTCAAGAGGGAAAGAAAGAGAGGGTTCTTGACTCCCCAGGTCCACACTCAGGGAACACCACCACTAAGCACAACCAGAGACCCAGAGAGAAAATAATGGCGGAGGTCGGCGAGGATGCTGGCAGTACTTTCTTCTCACCAGCAAGTCCAAGGCAACAGGGACATGTCCATAAGGTGCCAGACCTTACATGCCACCCAGAATCCGTGCGCTCATATTTCTACTCAAGGGCCTGAGTAGAGGACAGGGGTAGCATGGTTTCAGGATCCCCCAGACACCAAAGTCACTAGAGAAAATACCTGAACCCAGTGAACAAGAAACGAAGGTGTCTTTAAAATCTCAAATGCCAGAAATTGGGGCAAGCCCCATGTAGGAGCTGGGGGCTTGTCTGTCAGGGAAGCAGAGGTCAGCAGTCAGGCATCTGACTGACTGAGGTGGGAGTGTCCTCAAGTGTCCCTGCTGTCCTGGGCCAATGAGGGAACCATGGCAGATGCAGGAGAGGCACCACCTTCCTAATGAGGGAGAGACCAGGGGTCCCATGCAGTCTGGAGGGCTGATCAGCGTGGTCCCTTCTAGAAGAGTGCCTACGCTGCCGAGAACTCACTGCTCCAAGGCAAGTTTGAGCAGGAACACCAGAGAGAAGGCTGAGGAGCAAACAGGCCTGAAAATCCTCAAAGGAGGCTGCCATACATTTATCCACGAAGTCAGAAAAGCTGCCCTGGCCCTGCCTCCAGGGATCCAGGAGAACAAATTTCATGTGAAATCAACAACAGAAAAGTACTGCGGTCAAGTCCCATGGCCAGTGCAAGAGTGTCCCCACAGACACCAACAGTCAGACCACAGGGCAGGTCAAACCACCAGGCACCATTTCAAGACCAGCACAAAAGAAGAAATGTAAGAAATAACAGACAACTCAAGTCAGAGCCAGAAAAGGTCAGGAAATTCAGAACAGAATCGGCAAGAGCAGAGTCACATGGAAATGAAGGCCAAACCCAAAGGAACCAAGTGCAAGCCAACCAGGCCAACGCTTAGAAACAGAAGTAAAAAGAGGAAAAATTCAAATCTGCAAAAGGAAAAAGAAAGGAAGAACTCTCATCATTCAAGGTAAAACCCCAACCCAAGTAAAGGAACAAAAGGTGTGAGCGGACACCTCGCCCAAAAAGTTAAGCCGAGGGACATCCTCTGCGCTGCCTCTGGCTGCACAGGTCACAGCTGAGGGCCGGGTAGGAAGGTGCCAGCCAGGAATGGCCACCTCCTACCTCCAAGGAGGGCTTCTCCTGAGAAGAGGAAAGTCCATGGAATGCAAACCCCCGACAGGTTACCATAGAAACAGACACCACCACCAACACTTCTTTCTACAATAACAGATGTCTGAACTTGAAATAGCTGATGTACTTTTCCTAAAGGGCAACACAGAATCACAGAAAGAGAAGAGAGGGAAGGGAAAATTACCTGGACCTGGAGAAAACAATGATCTGCTCTGAAGGCAGCAATGCAACCAGAGCCCAAGACACCCCGGGGGAGGGCCCACAAATTCCTCGTCAGAGAAGGTTGTAGAATAAGTCAAGAAAACTATGAGCCGCTTTCTGCTCTGGCTTTCTTATTGTCTCTGACATCGCTCAGCCTCACTGGTCATGCATAGATTTGTTTGTATCCTGTGTTTGGATTTAGGGAGTCAAACGCCCTATCAGATGCCCACCACTGACCTCTGCTTCCCCCGCAGTCAGGCCCCCAGGTGCTATGTGGGGCTTGCCCCCCACTGCTACCATGCGCTCCAAGGAACACAGTCAAGGCCACCCACACCATGGCCAGTGGGGCAGGGGCTCCCATTGCACTCAGAGAGAGCACTTTCTGCTTCCAAATTCTTGCAGAAATGACTCAGAATGAAGTCTACTCATGCACATTTAGAGAATCAAATCAAAAAGTAGTGTCAGCAAAAAACCTGCAAACTCACCAGAGATCTGCAAATTCAGTGCAGCTGAAGCATCTGCACTCTTTACTTCTTTTTTCATGCTGGATAAGAGAGATTTCAAGCTACTATTCTCCTCCAAAGACTTGTCCAAATGTTGTCTCAAGGTATCCTAAGGGAACAGAAGAGACATGTAAGGCAAACTCCTCACAGAGCGCCAAGGGTGTTTTCTCACCTGGGGGCCCTGCGAGAACAGCAATCTGCACAGTGCTGTGGCGTGAGTCTCAACACCAGGGGCTGCCTGTGTGGTTTTGCTATTTTCTTTTTTTTTCAAGGGGCTGGGGCTGTAGCTCAGTGGCAGAGTGCTTACCTTGCATGTGTGAGGCACTGGGTTCAATCTTTTTTTCTCAAAAAGAGAAGCTTTGTGTGGGATTTCTCATGTAAGCGCTCATAAAATAGACATTATTTGCCAGGTAGTTCCACATCTTTGTCCCAGCAATTCTGTGGTTTCCACCATTTTACAAAGGGGCGACTGAGGCAGTGGACAGGTCAGGCAGCTGCTGCAGTGGCCCCATGGCCCCCAGGCAAGCACACTGTAGGTTTGTCTCCCCCTGTGGGCCCTGGGCCCACATTAGCAGGGGACTTCCCTAAGCACTGCCCATGTTGCAAGGACTCCAAAAGCCTGAACGGGCCCATGGAGGACACCTGTGCGGAGCCTGGGAGAGGACCTGACTCACCAGGCCTTCAGATGATGGGCAGCTGAGCCAGCTTGGCTCACCTGCAGAGGCTGCATGCTAAACCCAGGGGCTCACCAGGGGTGATGCACGCCATAGAGCTCTCTCAGAGGGTCAGTGGTTGCCCTGTGGGCCTGGATGGTAGCTCTGCAGCCTGCACCATCCACCTTGAGACAGGCAAACACCCCAGTACTCTCAAACACACCGGGACCCACACAGGGTTAGCTCAGCCCTGTGTGCAGCTCAAGGGCCAAGCTTGTGGCTCTAGCTGCTCTTAGGCGCCACCTGGTGATGAAGAGTTCCTGACACTCACCCTGGGCCATCTACTTCCTGGCCGGGGTGGCAGGACAGGCCACAGAATCACCCAGTAACTGGTGTCTCAGTCATCAGGGACAGAAGACTCCCCTTGGAGCCTGGATTTGACCCCTCGTCCCCATATCCCACCAGCAGCTGGAAGGCAGAACAGGGACAGCCAGAGAGCCTGCCATTGCCAATTCACCGTTTCCATGGGGTCTGGGCCTGAAACAGTCAGGTAGAGCCCCTGAAAGAGAAGCAATCACTGGGAAAGGAAGGACTTTGTGGCCCTGGAGGAGCAGGACGGGAGACAAGGGACTGCAGCTGGGGCTGTGAACAAGCTCCATCTTCCTGTCCCAGGGACAAAGGAAACGGCACAGGGCACCACTCACCATCTCTCTGCGTGTGTTGCTGAGCTCCGACGTCACCTCGCTCAGCGTCGTGGTGTACTGCTGCTGGTGCTCAGCCAGGCGGTTTTGCAGGGATTTATTTTCAAGGGCCAGGTAGCTAATTTCTTCATTCCCAAGTTCTGAACTGTCCTGAGCTGCTGCAAACTCTTGAACAGATGACAAAATGTGCCTTGCCTGAGCTGGAGTGAAAAGGGAATTCTATTACAGTGCTCACAGCTACAGCGTGGAGCACAAACAGAACATGCCCAGCACGTGACCCTGTGCCTTGAGAATGGTGAGGCACAGAGGGACGGCAGGCTTCAGGGTCACTTTGCTTGGATTCTCTACATGCAGCCATGTTGATTCTCAACAGCTTGTATTCTAGAAAAAAGGTGACTCGCCAGCAGAAGCTGCATATGCTGGCAGCCACATCTGGAGCAGCGTGGTGAGTGCCGGGAAAGCTCATCCTGCAAAGAGCCTGGCAGCTCCACAGGGGCAGCAGCCTGGGTACCATGGACCCACCCCACTGCCACAAGGAAGAGGTGTGGAGGCATGGGCTCAGGGCACCCTGACACAGGAGGAGCTAAAGGCCATGACAGGACACTGAGAAGAGGGGTCAGAGCCCAGTGGTTGGCAGTGGAGGCAGCTCAGAGTGCTGTCCAGGGTCTGCCAGCTAGCAAGCCTCGCTAACAGGACACTAACAGGACGCCCATGCTGCAAGAGAGAAGGCAGCTGTCTGGGCTGCAGGCACCAGGCTGCATAGTGGGAGCCCCTGAATGCTCCTGCACTGACTGGTCACCAGTTCACAGACACAAACAGACCCAAACCCTCTCTAATATGGGCCTCCTGCTGGGCCCCAGGTCATTTCTGCCAGATGCTCTGCAAATCTGCCTGTGCCCAAGCAAGCACACAAAGAGGATCTGGAGAAGGCAGAAGCCCTTTTCTCAGCCTCCAAACCCCTGCTTGAAGACAGGGAAATTGGAGCACATTCCACTCACAGGAGGATGTCCATTGTCTGGTACTGGGGCCACCTGGCAGACTCTCCAGAGCTCCATAGGGTGTGGATGCGGAGGACCCACGTGGCAGGTCAGCAGCACCTGCCAGGAGCTGCTGCCTGGACTGAAGGCCAGCACCCACCTAGACTCACCGAGGAAGGCCTGGTTGCTGTGCAGGGACTTGCAGCCACTCCAGTGCCTGTCCACCAGGTCCAAGAGCGCTTCCAGGAGCGCCCACTCCAGCACAGCCCTTTTCCCAGGGGGAGCTACTGAGTGTGGTCTGGGAGACGGCTGTGAAGGAGACAAGATCATGAAACTGGCTGTTCAGCCATGGCCGGCAGGTCACGGCAAGAACCAGGTCTAAGGAGAGAAGATGGCGGGTTACAGCAGCTCCTTGGCACCAGACTTAAAAAGCAGTAAGACATCTCCTCAGTGCGGTGGGTAATTAAGGGAACCCACTGAAACAGTTCTGGACAGTAAGAGAAACCAGACACAGAAAGTCTGAAACTTCAAACACACTTAGAAGTGCACCGGCTCGGCTGGCAGCAGTGGCCGCTGAGAGGATGGGGGAACACAAGCAGAGAGAGAGGAGACCTTGGCAGATAAAACACTGACCTGAGGAGCCCTGTGGGCTAGAAGGAGGCTGCCCTTAACAGACCCAGAGTCAGTGGGGGGTGGGATGTGCTTAAGGGACAACCAACCCCAATCCCTGGCCATGGGCAGATGGCTCTGTGGGAGGTGGTCACCAGCATGGGGTCACACAGTGAGAAGAGACAGAGGAAGCTGCCAGCGGACCCAGCAGGTGCCTACTATGACCCCCCAGAGTGTGTCTAAACCAAAGTGGCTGGAACGGAGGCCCGGAAAATGGTGCGTGGAGCATGCAGGCTCCGGATGAATGGGGGGGGGGGGGGCTCCCTTTGTCACAGGTGAGTACCACACTCGGGCACTCAGCAGTGAGGTGAGACCCATGGGGTTAGTACCCACGCCCTAAAAGTGGATCGACTTAACCTGAGGCCCCAGAGATCCGACCTCCGGCAGAGACACAGAGGCTGGGGATCACACCTCAGACACCCACGGACAGAGTTCCAAGCTCAAGACTAAATCCCAACTCTGGGAGCTTCCAATGTAGAACTCTTTTTTTCTTCCGTTGCTATGGTTTGGATGCGAGGGTCCCCCAAGAGCTCACATGTGAGGCAATGCAGGAAGGTTCACAGGAGAAATGACCCAGTCAGTGACGTGGTCCCCTGATGGGATTAACTGGTGGCAGCTGGAGACGGGTGGGGTGTCGCTGGAGGAGGAGGGCCCCCGGGGGCGAGGCTTTGGTGGGGTATATATTTGCATCTGGTGAGTGGAGTCTCTCTTGCAGCTTCTTAATGGTTAAGTGAGCCGCTTCCCTCTGCCACACTCTTCTGCCATAAGGTCAGCCTCACCTTAAGCCTGAGGAATGCAGTCTGTGTGTGTGGACTGAGACCTCTGAATCCGTGAGCCCCCAGATAAATTTCTCCTCCCCTAAAATTGTTCTGATCAGGTCCTTTAGTCGTAGCAAGGAAAAAGCTGACTAAAACAGACATATTCTCCCCATTTTTTTACTTTAAAAATTTTTAATTTTAAATATTAACTTTAGAATTTCTCCAATATCACTTCATCATATTTTGTTACTTTTTACTCTTTTCCATTCCACACACAGTATGTGTGTGTATTCTCACTGCATGGATGTGTATACAAGTGCTTGTGCCCGCGCACACCCACACACCCACACAAGCACACTTTTGCTTTCGTCCCATACCCTCATACACCTGTTTCCACCTGACGCTGGCCTGCCTGCACCTTGGTTTGTGCCTCGAATAGCCGCTTCTTCACTCCCTTCCCCACTCAGAGCCAGTTCCATGTTTCATCTTCTTGTGACACTAGGGCTCTGCCTGGCTCCCTCTTCGTCTAACAGGGGCAGGAAGGTGACTGGGCCACTTCACAGAACAGAGACCCCGCTGCCAAGCAATACCCACATCTCAGCCAAGCAACAGTAGTAAACCTCACTGCACACACGCTTCAACACCCAGGACAGGAGACAACCAGGACCCAGGCAGGAACGACATTGCTCACATATCAGAAACAGAAGCGCCAGAAGCAAACAGTCTGCATGCAAAAGGGCACGGTATAAAAAGAGGAAAGGGGGGCTGGGGTAGAGCGCTTATCTAGCAGCGTGGGGCGCTGGGTTCCATCCTCAGCTCCACATGAAATAAAATAAAGGTTCTGTGTCCAACTACAACTAAAAACCAAAATATTTAAAAAATAAAAATAAAAAAGAGGAAGGGGTCCATCTGAATGGGTGTGCGAGTCCCAGGCCTCCAAAAACATGAGGAAACAGGCAAACAATCCTCCCAGAACCCATGATTCCCAACAAAGATCCCACAGATATGAAAGAGGATGGAATTCCATAGAAAAATTATAAAAACTGATTATCAAGATATTCAGTGAACTCAAAGGAGATCTAAAGAGCAGATTAGAACAGACCCCCGCGATTAAGAAATGCCAGTAATGTGGGACACTGTCCCAGGAAAGCTGCAGGAATCGAGCAGAGACAAGCCAACAGGAAGGCCACTTGGGCTGCACCCACATGGCCACAGGGCAGAGCCACACAGCCCTGTGGAGAGAACCTCACGATGCCCTGGGCCCCAGAGGCTGGACGTGGAGCTACAGGGCTTGTTTGCCCAGCTGTGTTTCGGTCTTGCTTTGGTCCCATCCCTTCTTCCTATGTCCCTATTTTTCTGAATGGAAGTCTTTACTCTGTACCATTTCATACTGGATACTTGTAAATTGCTTTTAATTTTGTAGGAGCTCACAACGCAATATTGCCTTGAGCCTCAGAGTAGACCTTGGACTTGAACTTTGAGCCATCTCGGAACTGCTGAGACTCTGGGGACCCTTGGGAATGGACTAAATGTATTGTGCATCGTCAGATGAGTTTGAGCCTTTGGGGGTCAGGGGAGGAATGTTATGGCTTGAATGTGAGATGTCCCCCAGAAGATCACGTGTAAGACAATGCAAGAAGGTCTACAGGAGAGATGACTGGGTATGAAATGTCACCCAATCAGTTAATTAATCACCAATGGGATGCAATGGATGGCATCTGAAGGCAGGCAGGGTGTGGCTGGAGAAGGTGGGGCACTGGGGGCGTGGCTTTGGGTAAATATTTTGTACCTGGAGAGTAGAAACTCTCTGCTTCCTGATCATCATGTGAGCTGCCACACTCTTCTGCCATGACGTTCTGCCTCACCTCGAGTCCTGAGGAACCCAGCTAGCCGGCTGTGGACTAAGACCCCTGAAACCATGACCCCTCAAATAAGCTTCTCCTCCTCTACAGTTGTTCTGGTTGGATCTTTTAGTTGCAGCACCCAAAAAGCTGACCAAAACACCTCTAATATGTGGCTGTGTTTCCACCTGACCACACTGGGCACCGTGGGAACAGTGCAGAGCAAGGGAGCCAGTGCCAAGGAAAAGAAGGCGTAGGGCTGCCTTCCCTGGGAGTCAGGGCACTGCGCGCACGCCAGACCCCGACCACCAGGGCCCCCCGACAACCAGGCACAGCATGGCTGCACACCCTCGTGCCCCAGCTCACCACTCCAGCGTCGCCTGTGCCGCGAGGTGTCTGCTCTTCTGCCTCCGAGGCCTCAGAATGGGGAAAGGCACTCTGGCTCCTGCCCTCAGAGCTGTCCTGTCCGCTGGGACCCTCCTCCAGGCTGCAGGGCCCACTGGCCCTCTCCAGGCAGCTCAGACACTCCCAGTCGGAAGGCGCTTGGAACCTCCCACCAGGCACCCTCCTCTTCCTGAACTTGTCAGCAACAGGCAAAGAATCTAATGTTTTCTGTGAGGACAGAGCCGACTTCTGAGAAGAGGAGACAGAGCCCTCGATATCCGTGGAGGCTGCAACAGAGAGGGAGAGCTCACTGCACCAGATTCTCGGGGGCCTAGTGGCCAATATCTTGATTTCTAAAAGGTGTGTGTGTGTGCACATAGATGTGTACACACACATGCACACACACTCCACACACTCAGAAACACACACACACACACAGGAGTCGGGGGAGCTGGGGGGCACAATGGAGCAAACATGGTCAAACAGGACCTCGGGCACCTGGGCCAGCAGAAGGAAACCTCAGCATGCTGGGCATTTCATGAGTGCTCAGCTGCAGGGATTCCATGCCCACTTCCAGGGGCTCCAGCAGACATGTGGCACGTATGCCTTCTCCAAGAGAGGCATTCTGACAGCTGACGGAAAGGTAGGGACTGTGCACTCTGCTGACCAAGCTGCCATGGGGGTGCAGGACACAGGGCACCTCATGCAGGGAAGGGCCATGAGAGCAGGAGGCGTGGGCAGAAGCACAACCCTGGCCTCAACCACGGCCCTAGAACTGGAACCACAGCCCTGCCCTGCAGCAGCGAGCCGTCCATCTGGCCAGGTCACTGCTGACCAACCTGGCTCTGGAGGCCCCATGAACTCAGCCTGAATGAACCTCCAGAGTGCCAAATGCATTCATGCCAGGAGGTTTTCAGACACTTATGCCACACAGATGCACGTGACATGCACCAAATGTGCTCAACTTTAATATTACAACCATAGCTGCTGTCGACCTATCCTACACATTTAGAAGAAATGTGGGCATGTGGGAGAAGCAAGGAGGGAATGAGTGTGTTTGTGCATGAGCGAAGAAGTACCTAAGTGTGTGCACACCAGAATCCTGAACAAGCAAGGATTCTAAATTTCAACGTGCTCGGTTCTTTCCTAAAGTATTGCAGAAGGCTCCGCAGGTAAGCAAACACATAAAGGTCACAGGAGAAGCTTCATGGCAGCAGCAGACACCGAGGAAATCTTAAAAACAGGCGTGGGGTTACCTGGGTGCGGGGTGAAGTGGGCGTGCGGCCCGTGTGTGCGGCAGGCCTGGGGGGAACTCCCCACAGTGCTGGTCCTGAGGAGGCTGCTCTGGACAGCAGCCTCTGGGGCTGCCTTTCTTTTTCTCGTGGCCCCTCCTTGCAGAGTCCCCACACTGGTGCTGGATGGACGGAGGATTCAACAGACATCTGGATTCCATTTTATTAAGAACACTTTAAAAGCTTAATTTCACTCAAGATTACATTTTAAGTCTATGACAGTGTATGGCATCTGTTACGCATGCTTCCCTTAAACTGATTAAGTAACAAAAAGATGCCTCAGTACAATGGGACTGAGTGAATTCCACACAGCTCTCCAGGGAGGCGAGGGCAGACCCAAGACCACAGGAAGCAGCAGTCACGGACCCATGAACCAGAAGGTCGAGTGAGAAGTGGCACGGGCCAGCTGACTTAACACGCGCCACGGCAGCTAAACGAGGAGTCTTTTAATGAGTGGCATCAGAACAACTGGAGGTACAAGGGTGGCAGGGGAGTCGACCCACCCACACCCACAGAAACCAGAGCCAACGAGGGCCACTCTCCTGTGCCTGCCCCGCAGGAGATCTGTGAGGAACAGAAGCTCCAGCAATGGGGTGGGCAAAAGAGCATGAGCCACGGAAGGAGAAAGACGACCAAGACAACTGGTCTTCCCTGGAGCTGGAACAGCTGCTCTTCAAAGTGCCATCAGGAAAGTGAAGAGGTGGGGCCAGGAGGGGAGAGAAGCCACGGCACCTGCCCCCGAGGAAGGGCCTGGGCTCTCACCCCCGACCAGGAGGAACCGGCCCTGACACGGGGTGGGCAGAGCGGGCTACTGTCCCAGAAGAGACACAAAGGCCAGCGTTTCAATCGTGTCTGCTTCAGAAAGATGAAACAAAAACTAGGATGAAGTGCCACCCTCCACAGGAGCGGCCCAGCCGAGGGTGGCAGCGTGAGGTGGCACTTGGGGCTGCTCCTCGGGCAGCAGGCACAGTCGCAATTCAACCCAGGCTGACTGGACTCCTCACGCTGTTTCCCTGAACCTCTCAGAAGCCTCAGCTCATAAACAAGCCCTAGTGGGAGGCAGAGTCCCCAGGCAAAGCGTGTGAGGTTGTGCCCTGAGCACAATGTTCCTGCTGTCCCTGACAGAGCCTCAACGTGGCAGCCTGTGCTCGGGGCCTCTCTAAGCTCAGTGACCACAGCAGCAGCTGTGGGCATCAGCTCCACTAGCCACAAGGCACTTGCCTTTCTTGTCTACATTAGTGTGCTACTTTCTCGTGTGAGGAAAAGTGCGGCTACACCACCTGCAGCAGGACTGTGCTGGGACACCAATGCTCCCTTTCAGAGCTCTGCGGTCTCATTGCTGGCTCTCAAAGTGCACAAAGCCGTGCTGAAGATCCTATCTTAGAGGTCAGTTTTTTGCTGCTGTTTTTTGGTGCTGGGAATGGAAGCTAGGGCCTGTGCATGCGAGGCAAGTGCTCACCACCGAGCAGCCCAGCCCTGGTATTCTCACAAAAGCACGATTGTGTAGGTCGGAGCCCGTGACTGCTGGATCTGCCGGGCCTTCACTGCAGACCGGACAGCGTACCTTGGCTGTGGTGGTGGTCAGCCTCACGTTCCTTCTGGCTGGAGCTCAAGCCCCCAGGGGGGTTGCTTAGGTCCCACTCGCACTCAGCAATGAGGGTCAGGACCGCCTCGTCATCTGCATCCATGACCAAGCACTTCCTGGCTGAGGGGTCAGTGCACCTGGCCCTGGAGTGGTGTGGTCTGCAAGGGAGAGCAGACTGGTCAGCACTGTCAGCCTACGGCCAGCGCAGGCCCGTCTGCACTGCTCCTGGAGCAGCGTGCCTCAGCAGCAAGTGACTGGAGGAGGAGCTCACCCCGGAGCACCACGGTGAGGTCATAAGATGGCAACACACCACCCAGCCTGCACCATCTACCCAAAGGCAAACCCTCTCAAAGAGGTCCTCCACCCAACACGGTGGTTTAAGGAACACTCTTCATTCTTTCCTCAATTTCTACAATTTTTGCAGCTTTTATAACAACTAAGTGTTGCAGTGTTGAAACAAGTCAATCTATAAAAATTGCAAAGTATTTATATTTGTAGATTAGAATACACTATTCCCAACCATGGTGAATAAGTGCTTCCTTTATCTTCGGTGTATGTCACGACAAAAGAGAAAAGAATCTGAAACACTTCCTATAAATCAGAACATAACGGATGTGTCTAATGATGTCAGCAAGGCGAGGCAGAGAAAAGAATTTCACATTCTGTCCCTTCATAAAAGAAAAAAAGGGAAAATTGGGAACCCTGGAAATGAGGCAAGACTGCAGCAGCCCATGCAGCAGCTGTTGCAGGAAGGTGCTGATCTCCAGCAAGAACGGCCAGGGACCTGCCCAGCCCCACCCCTGCACAACTCTCAGCGGCAGCCGCAGCAGCAGTGGAAACACCCAAGGTGCCTTCGAGGTGCCCCAGGGAGCAGGGTGGAGTTGCTGTTCCGACCTGCCCCAAGGATCAGCTCCAAGGCCTCTCCCACCCCACAACCCACAGCCAGGCCCGACGTGCTCGGGGTGAGGATACTGAGCACCCAAGGCTGAGGTCCTGGCTGCTGCCAACCAAAGCCTCAGAGGGCAGCTGTAGTAGACAACAGCACAGAGCCTGGGGAAAATGGCTGGGAATCAGATGTCCACAGGGTTTGGAAAGAGGCAACCATGGTCACGTGTCACTTAACAAGGAGGACACAGGCTGGCAGAAGTCACCATATACCATCATTTCACAGATGTCGAATGTCAAGCGCTCTCATACAACCTGGGACTGCCTGACACTGCTCACAGGACCACTGCCATGCCCGCAGTCCTGGGCAGCCAAGCCATCCTCAGTGTGCACGTCTGACCTTCTGGGCTCTCTCACCCCAAGAAGGCCCTACGCCTGCGTGCACCCACTGGGCTTGCAGCTCTGCTAAGCAGGAAGCAAGGTTCACCCAGAGGTGCACACTGCCAAGCTGAGGGACAGAGCGGGCCCAGAACACAGCCAGGCAAAGACTAGCTCACTCTCTGGTTTGGGACAGGAAGGGAATCCCTGCCCAATCACTAGCTCATCAATAAGCTAACAGAACAGAGACCTCAAGGGCCATGTACATCAAAGAAAACTGTTCAGAAAAGTCACCAAACAATGACCACTACAACCAGCAAGCACATCAAATCCAGGGAAGCAAAGAGAATCTGATTTCCAGAGTTGTCATGTTACAATGCTCAAAACGTACAGATATAAACAAAAATTAGAAGGGATTCAAAGAAATGAAAAGGTGGAGGCCAAACACAGAAGGCCGAAACCACACCTGAGGAAGTCCAGACCTTAGCCTCTGCAATCCACATAAATCAGTGATTTTCCATCCATTCAGCAAGCAAGAGCAAGCCTTCACATGGGAGAAGGGACTACGAGAACTAGGTCTCATGAACCGTGGAAGATGAAGGAGACAGAGCCTAAGCGGGCAAGCTGGTGTGGGGGCCAGACGTGGCCTGAGGAAGCTCACTGAAGCGCAGAGTGGGGGACCTGCAGCAGGCATGCGTGCATTGGAGGATGGGGCAGCTGACTGTCCAGCCTCCGGAGCAGAAAGAGAGCAGCAACAGGTCTCACAGGCTTTGGAACACCAAGCAGAGCTGCATCACAGGATGGGCCCGCGGCGGGAGTCCCAGGAGCATCTGCAGGAACAGGGCTGAGACGGCCACACCCGGGAGCTCCCAGTCTGCTCTGCCTCCCGCTTCCTGCACACCAGTGTCTTGTACGTGCCGTGCCGGTGAGCAGAATGAAGGCTGGGCCTTGGTCACCCCAGGAGAGCCTGTCCTGGGGACTCAAGCAAGCCCAGAGGGTGGGCTGAGAACCAGGCACTGGACTCCAGGGAGGGAGGGGCCAGTGGTTCAGTTGACCATCAGTGATCCATAACATGACCACTCAGTCTGTGACACTAAGACCAAAAGGGGCTCAGCGGGGTGCCAGACAGCCCTAAACGTGGGCACCTGGAGAGTGGTGCCCAAGGAAGCCCCCACCCCTTCCCCACCCCTCGTCCTACACATCTCTTCATCTGTGCCCTTTGTGGCAGGATTTAAAACAAACCAGTGAGCCTGAGTGCTGTCCCCCAAGACTGAGGAGAAGAGCAGAGCCAAAGGGCTGACACCTGCTCTAAAGCCACAGCAACCAGGACGGCAGGCACTGGGGAAACAAGAGGCCAGGCGCCCGTGCAGCAGAGCAGAGAGCCCAGACACACCCACACACGCAGCGACTCCATTCTGGAACAAACCGTGCTGGACACCCAAACACCCTGTCATAATCTAGACACAGACCTTACACCTTTCACAAAGCTTCACTCAGAACAGACCATGGACCTAATTACAAAATGAGAGCTTTAAATAGCTCCCAGAGGTAGCATGGGAGTCAAATGCAGGGACGGGCTTTCCTGGTGACTTTTAAATGCAACAATGAAAGTGCGTCTACGAAAGCTGATTCGCTGGGTTTTGTTAACATTGAGAACTTTTGCTCCATGAAGACACTGTTAAAGAGAGGGAAACGACAATCCATAGGTGGGAGAAGATGTTCTGTGGGCCAGGGAGATAGCTCAGTGGTAGACTGCAGAAACAGAAAAGAAAATACCATAAAACAGGGATCCAGCAAAGCACTACCTCCCAAAATACACAGGAGCTCCTGGGACTCAGCGGTGAGAAAAGGAGCGACCCAGTCACAAATGGGAAAGACCTGAGAGGATCTCCCACCAAAGGAGACACCCCTGGGGCTGGGGATGTGGCTCAAGCGGTAACGCGTTCGCCTGGCATGCGCGGGGCGCTGGGTTCCATCCTCAGCACCACATAAAAATAAAATAAAGATGTTGTGTCCACCGAAAACTGAAAAATAAGTATTAAAAAATTCTATCTTTCTCTGTCTCTAAAAAAGAAGAAGAAGAGGAGGAGGAGGAGGAGACCCCAGTGGCAAGTAAGCCCAGGAGAAGAAGCTACCATCCGGAAGCTCCCTACCATGACCATCAGGAACCCCCTAATCATGAACCTCCTAAGACACACTGCACCCACCAATGGCCAAAGTACACCACCTAACACCACCACGGCAGTTACGGGGATGTGGGGCAACGGCCTACAGAACCCCGTACCACTGCCACACGACTCAGCACCCAGCTCCGAGTGTGCATCCAAATGAACTCAAAACTCACATCCACGTGGAAACGTGCACACTTAGAGTAGCTTCACTCACACCTGCCAGATATTAGGAGCAGTCAAGTCATCCCCTCAGAAGGGGAACAGATAAACCATGGTACATCCACACAGTGCCTTATTCAATAACACTAATAAATGAACTCTCATGACACAAAAAGACAGAGAACTTAAATACATATTAAGTTAAAGATGATAATCTGAAAAGGCTAAATATCATATAATTCTATACTAACTCATTTTCTGACACTATACCGAAACATCTAAGGCTGGGTGCTTCATAAAGAAGAGGTTTTTCAGCTCAAAATTTTAGAACATGATGGTCCATACATGAAGCTGGCCCCTGGTGAGGTCCCCCTTGGCTGTGTCACATTGCAGCCGATGTGCTCCATGGTGGGAGTGCCAGGGACAAGGAATGGTCACATGGCAAGACGGGAAGCCAGAGAGCAAGCCAGGGGTCAGGCTCACTAGAGCAGCTCATTCCATAAGAACTAAGGGACCTAAGAAAACTACCTTCAGCCCTTCTGAGGACAGCACCTGATGACCTAATGACTCCCACAAGGCCCACCTATTGAAAGTCTCACTGCCTCTCCACACACTGCCACAGCAGGGAGCAAGCTTTCAACACACGGAGGATGACAGGACACACGCAGACTATGCCCCAACCACTGCAGACTGCAACTAGGTGATGTGTTGGAGCAGAGAAAACCGCAGACAGGGAAAAGAACAGAAGCCGGCCGGGCACACTGGCGCATGTGTGCAATCCCAGCGGCTCAGGAGGCTGAGGCAGGAGGATTGCGAGTTCAAAGCCAGCCTCAGCAACTTAGTGAGGCACTGAGCAACTCAACAAGACCCTGTCTCTAATAAAATGTTAAAAAAGACTGGGGATGTGGCTCAGTAATTAAGTGCCCCTGGGTTCAATTCCTGGTACCAAAAAACAAAGGATATGAGACTACAGAGAGGCCTGGGCAAGAAGGAGAAATGAATGGTAGAACACTGAAGGTGTTCAGGGCAGTAAAATTATTCTGTATGAGGATGAATCCACAACAGTAAGCACTGGTCAAAATCTGCAGGATATACCACTCAAAGATAACACATCAATACTAACTCATCAATTATAACTAACGCAAGATGTAGCGTGCAGGAGTATATGGGAACTCTCTGCACACTTCACTCATTTTTTCTAGAAACCTAAAGCTGCTCTAAATACAAGCTTATTGCAAAAGACTGAGCATTTGCATGCCTCCCAGATTCATATGTTGAAACCTAACTCCAATGTGATGGTGTTGGGAGATGGGGCCTGTAGGAGCTAATCAGGTCACAGGTGAGGTTCCCATGAATGGTACTGGTGCCTTCACAAAAGGAATCCCCAGCAAACTCCCTCCCACTGCCACCATGTGGAGACACTGTGAGAACTGCACAGCAACCCAGGGGACTGTGCCTGGAACTTGACCATACTTGCTCACAGTCCTCAGAGCTCCAGGTGAGATCTGCACAGGCCAAGTCCGCAGCCAGGGCCACAGTGGTTTTGATGGAAGACTCGTTCACTGACAGATTGCCTACAGCAGCTGGAGAAGCTGAGACAGGGATTACATGGTTCCAAGAGCCTAAATCTTCTCTCACAGCTGTTCACAAAAAGAATAAAGGCTGAACCCTGCATTAGATAGCTCATGAGGATGAGCTAAGGCATATAATGCAAGAAAAAGAAAAAATAAAGAAAAAGTATCAGACAAAACAAAATGGAGCACAAGAAAGAAGACAAAGTCCAAGGTCTTCATCCAGCAATTTAAACAAGCTCACGGATGCTGCTCTTTAGAAGCAACCCATGCACAAAGCACGACAGTCCTCTAGGTCTCACACTGTCAGCCTGACCACAAGGATACCGCCTAAGTGAAGGGCAGCCGGCAGCCAGAGCTGGAGGCAGCAGGGGGAAGCAGGGCACCAGTGGGTGCAGGACCCAGCGCTGACCATGGCAGAGCTGGGAGCACTGGCACTAGAGGAGCACAGAGAGAATGCACTCTGTGGATCGCCTTGTGGGACTGGTGGAGGAGGGGACGTGGACCTCGAACCTCCTCCAGGCAGGCAGGGGTCCTGCAGACGCACTCCCATCCAGAAGTGGGCAAGGCGGCCTGAGATGAGACCCTGAGAGCAGCCGCTGCGGGAGGGAAACAGCTGAGGGCTGCTTCCTTCTCACCAGCCCTCTGCACTCCCTGACTACACAGGCCACTCCAACGAACACTTTAAATATAAAAAATAACAGTAACTTTCAGGAAATGCAGAAAGTGGGAGAGAGACGCTGTCCCACCACCTAATTTGGCCCCAGTTGACGCTGGGCACCTCTTCCCTCCATTCCTGTGCACCTGAGGGCAGCTGAAGTGCATGTGATTGTGAGTGTGGCTGAACACCCAGCAACCAATCTGAGAGGTGTCCCAACCACGTCTGCCCATACCTTCCGACCTTTAAGGCAGCTGGGAAGCTCTCCTTTGAGTCCAGTGAGTCCTCTGAGGCAAAATGCAGCAGGGAGGCCTTCCGCTCACTGTCTCTGACAGGACGGTCATCTAGGAGAAAGTTGCAGAGACTGCAGAGGACAGCAGGGTGGTGAGGGCCAGCTTCCGTGGAGGAGCAGAGGTGCCAGGCCCCATCCTAGAGCGCACCTGCACAGGAGGGCTCCTGACCCCTCGCCACGCCTGGCTGCCCAGGGGTGCTGCTGCTGTGCCACGAGGCCAGCCTGCTCTCGCAGTTCACTGCTCAGACGCCACCATGGGGACAGGCTGCTGCCATGGCAAAGGAGCACATGCACGAGGTGCACACTCGCCCATTCTTAAACGTGGACGCCAGGTGCTGGATGAGACTCTCATCACATGGCGCACTAAGGAGTCTCCATGGAGGAGAATCCTGAACACACTGGGAGCACTTGACTTGTGAGTGTGCCCTTAGAGTATGTTCCCCAAGGTCCCCCAGGGATGAACCACAGTGACAGAGGAGGAGTTTAACGGTCTCACATGTGGGCTGGGTCCTCAGAAGGGTTCTACCAAGAGTTCCTGGCACCTCTACGCAGATACCTGGGGATGAGACGGTCCCACTCATTGGAAACTGCCATATGTCTTGACAATGGTCAAGCTCTATGCTACCTTCCTAAGAGCATTTACTCTGTGGAACACCTCGAAATTATAGAAACAGTAAGAAATAAGAAATAAGTAACTGTGCAGTGTACTTTTAAGCAGAAAACCAGTTGTGAAGGTCATGCACAAGAGCCGCGTCCGAGGCCTCTGCACGTGGGGCTCCTCTCACTCCCCAAGCCATGCCCAGGAGACAGGCGCCCACTCCTCCTGCTCTCCTAATCCCCTCCTCTGGTCCCCAGGTCTGTCTCCACCAAAGCCCAAACACTCATGGGGTGTGCCCCTCTTGCAACACACACCTCTTCTCGCTGCACCTCTCCCCTCAGAGTCAGTTCCAGATCCCCACTGCAAAAATGCACACCTGGCCCTCTCCATTACACAGCAAACTCAGGTGTCCAAAGCAGATGCGGCTCCCCACTCCACAGACCACAGCCTCTGCTCACAGCAGCACACTCTGGACCCCACTGCTCCCTCCCCATAGCCCCCATGCCACCTCCCAGCTTCTCCGGCACACTCCCCCAGGTCTTTGTTACCCACTAGCAGCCAGGCCTCCGTTCTCTCCTCAGGCACCTGCTGGGCAGGGCCAGCCCTGGACGAGACTTGACTTCAAGGATGCTCCTTGATTGTCTCTGGAAGTATCTTTCCTTCTCTACATAAACAGTGTGAGACTCAGCATCTAACCCACTAATGACAAGGGAAAACCATGATTTAAAACGGAAGATCCCCAGAATCACCTGTAGGGACTGGGATGCTGGACATGTGTAAGTCACCTGCTCATCTTCCCCATGTTCAAATCAAACATGGCCGTGAGCTAGAGAAGAGCCGGGAGAGGGAAAGGTGGGGAGGGGCAGTGATGGAAGATCCTCTAACCTGGCGCTCACCCAGAGGTACCAGTCTTCCACCACCTTCCACAAGGAACCCAGCACTGTCTCCTCTGGACATATCGCATTCCCACAAGCTGTTCCAAGGGTCAGGTGGCTACCATATGCCTTCTACCAGTAGAGCTTGGCCACAAGGGGTAAAATGGCCCGGGGGGCAGGCTCTCAGTGTCAGCAGCACAGTGGGCAGCAGCTGCTCCAGGCACCAGGCCGAGAGGCGTGGCCAAGGTTCCCACCACCACAGGCTCCCACCCATCTAACAAAGGCCAAGAGTTCAGTCACTTCAGTCCCACCAATCTGCCCACCCAACGCAGGGGCTGCACCTCTTTTCTTACCCTGTGACAGACCTACGCGAAACACTACCTACATCTGCCCCCGTACACTTCCCCTGGGCCAGGAAAATGGCCTAATCTTAGACAACACACCAAAGGACTGAGAAACAAACCACAGTGCGCCACGGCCGACTCTCAGTCTCATTCTAGGCAGGTTTCAGACAGCCCACCTGCCCAGCCAGGCCCTGGGACCTCAGAGGTGGCTGCACTCTCGGGAGGCCAGTGCCACACACCTGCCCTGATATCTCCAGACACTGGCCATCCCTTGGGGGTGCCCTTGGCCTGGCACCTGCCACGTGGGTAGTGGAGATTCAGTGTCAGTGCTCACAGTGCGCCAGAGCTGGGCTCACTGGGTGCTGTGAGGTCAGTACAGAGGAGATGCGGAGGCCCAGTGCCCTCCAGCCTCACTAAGAATGGGTTTGCCCTTAGGATACGTGGGGGATACATGGGGGATACGTGGTCAACGCTACGAGAGCAGAGGGGCTCTGGCCACCCATCGGATGTGCCTGTCGCGCCCTCCCTAGCACCACCCTCACTGCCTAGCAGTTGAGGTTGGGGGGAGCTGGGTTGGGGGGAGCCAGCCAGGGCTTGGGGCTGGAGAAAATGGTTTGACGAGGTACAAAACAGGTGGGTTTCTGGCAAGAGGCACACTGTGGCACACTCACACCCTCACCACAGGACAGCTGAACAGGTCAACCCACAACATGAACGTGCACGACTATAAAGGGGCTGGCACAAAGGAGCGTGCACTTCATGCTGACCGACAGCTCCTCCAGCCACCTCCAGAGATACCTCGGGACACAGGAATGCAGACCAGGGTCCAGGACAATACCCGTGGCCCTGCCCAAGCATCTCTCCCCATACCCACCCTGTCAGGACACTGGGCCACCAGAGCCAAGGGCCTGCAAGACTCAGGCCATCGATGCAGAAAATCAACTTCCCTTCCCAGAAGGAATCAACAGCATGAGCCACCCCGAGCACAAACTGCCCGCCTGGGCTGCGCCGTGAGGGTACGGGGGTACGAGCAGGGCGGCCCCAGGCCTACCCAGCTGCCGCAGCTTGGGGAGCATGTGCACCACGAACAGGCGGTAGTCAGACTCATTCTTCACGACAGGGTTCAGCCGGAGGTCCAGGCCCTGGAGCTCTGTGAGGGAGTGCAGCCGAAACACCTCCGCCAAGGACGCGATGCAGTTGTAGTAGAGGTTGAGACTCTCCAAGGAGATCAGGTACTGGATGCCCTGGAACAGAAGGCACAACCTGTTTACGTCCCAGAAAGCAAACAGACAAACAGACCAGGGCAGGAACTGCTCAACCAACTGACACACAGAGGCAAGGAGAGCACAAAAGTGTGAGGCGTTCTCACAGTGGACGACCACATGGGTCTGCCAGTCCCCTGGCACTGAGCCTAGCTGGCACCGCCCAAGCTCTCGGGAAGACCCAGGCTAAGTGATTCACACAATTTCATTTACTCTGTGCACAACCCAACAGGGTCAGAATGATTTGTGCCCCCGTTCTACAGATTAGGAAACTGAGGCTAGGGTGGTCAGGAGATGAGCCAGGACAGGGTGCAGCATCTGGCTGAGATAGGCTCTGAAGCCCTGGGTCGGGTTCTGAAGTCCTCTGTCAGATGTGGTCTCCAAAAGTACATGTGATGTCCCGTGTGTCTTTTAGGGCAAGAATCCCCTCTCTGAATTGAATCCAGAGCAGTGTTCACACATCCTTCCCCAGTCTCACCTGGGTGATTCTTTTTTTTTAGACATACATGACAGAACGTATTATGAGGTCTTACACATACATGGAGCATAACTTATTCTCATTAAGACCCCGTTTTGTGGTTGCACATGATGTTGAGTTTCACTGTCATGTATTCATATGTAAACACAAAAAAGTTAGGTCCAACTCATTCCACTGTCTTTCCTTTTCCCTTCTCCTTATTCCTTTAGTCTAATCCCCTGAACCTCTATTCTTCTCCTCCCCCACTTGTTGTGGGTCAGCATCCATACATCAGAGAGAACATTCAGCCCTTGGTTTTTTGGGATTGGCTTATTTCACTTAGCATGATAGTCTCTAGATCCATCCATTTACCACCAAAAGTCAGTCATTCTTTTCTATGGCTGAGTAATATTCCATTGAGTACACAGACCATTTTATTCATTCCTCTGCTGAAGGGCATCTAGGTTGGTTCCATAGCTTAGCTATTGTGAATTGAGCTACTATAAACACTGATGTGGCTGTGTCACTGTAGTATGCTAATTTTAAGTCCTTTGGGTATAAACTGAGGAGTGAGATAGCTGGGTCAAATGGTGGTTTCATTCCAAGTTTTCTGAGGACTCTCCATACTGCTTTCCAGAGTGATTACACCAATTTATAGTCCCTCCAGCAATGTATGAGTGTACCTTTCCCCCCTATATCCTTGCCAACATTTATTGTTCCTTGTATTCTTGATAATTGCCATTCTGACTGGAGAGAGATAAAATCTTAGAGAAGTTTTGATTTGCATTTCTCTAATTGCTAGAGATGTTAAACATTTTTCATGTTTGTTGATCGATTGTATTTATTCTTCTGTGAAGTGCCTGTTCCGTTTCTTTGCCCATTTATTTTGATTGGGGTATTTGGTTTTTTGGTATTAAGTTTTTTGAGCCTTTTATATATCCTGGAGATTAATGCTCTACCTGAGGTGCAGGTAGAAAGATTTTTTCCCATTGTGTAGGCTCTCTCTTCATGTTACTGTTTCCTTTGCTGAGAAGAAGTTTTTAGTTTGATACCATTCCATTTATTGATTCTTGATTTTCTTCCTTGTGTTTTAGGAGTCTCGTCTAGGAAGTCAGTTTCTAAGCCAGCATGATGGAGAGTTGGGGCTACATTTCCTCTAGGAGGCACAGGTCTCTGGTCCTTGGCCCACTTTGAGTTTTGTGCAGGGTGAGAGACAGGGATTCAACTTCATTCTGCTACCTATGGATTTCCAGTTTTCCCAGCACCATTTGCTGAGGAGGCTGTCCAGTGTATGTTTGTGCCCCTTTGTCTCATGTCAGGTAACGGTATTCGTGTGGGTGTCTCTGTGTCTCGTATGCTGTTCCCCGGTCTCCATGTCTGTTGTGGGCCAGTACCATGCCGTTTCTGTCACTCTAGCTCTGTGGTATAGTCAAAGGTTGGTGTGGGGATGCCCCCTGCTTAGCTTTTCCCACTAAGGATTGTCTGGGCTATTCCAGGCCTCTCGTTTTTCCATATAAATTTCATAACTGTTTCTTCTATTTCTTTGAAGAACATCGTTGGAATTTTAATAGGAATTACATTAAATCTGTATAACACTTTTGGTAGTGTGCCATTGTGACAATAGTGATTCTGCCTGTCGAGAAGCACGGGAGGTCTTTCCATCCTTTAGGTCTTCTTCAGTTTCTCCCGTTAGTTCCGTAGTTTTCATTGTAGAGGTCTTTCACACCTGGGTGGCTTCTTAGTCCCTGTTGGTCACGCTGCCAGGAACCAGAGCTCAAGGCACTGCCCAGGAGGGCAGAGACCAAGTCAGGCCGTAAGTGAAGACATGAAGTGCAGAAAGTGCGAAAACAAACCTCATGAGGGGATACCATGTGACAGGCACCCACACTTGTCTGTGGAATCGTTCTTCATTCCTTTTAAAGATATGATAATTTAGATATTAGGTGTCCCCCAAAAGCTCATGTGTAAGACATTGCAAGAAATTCAGGGGTGAAATGATTGTCACAAAAGCCTTAATGCAATCAGTGAGTTAGTCCCGACAGGGTTACCTGCGTGGTAACTGAAGGCAGCCAAGGTTGGCTGGGGGAAGTGGGTCATCTGGGGGTGCCTGTGGAATGCGTCTTGTCCCTGCAAGAGGAGTCACTTTCTCTCTGCTTCTTGGTGGCCATGTCCTAACTGCTTTCCTCCCTCACACCCTTCTGCCATGATGTTCCGCCTCACTTGAGCCCTGAGAAATGGAGCCGGCCTTCTATGGACTACAACCTCTGAAACCACGAGCCCCCAAATAAACTTCTCCTCCTTAAAACTGTTCTTGTCAGGTCACAGCAACAAAAAAGCTGACTAAAACAACAATCCATCCTCAGAGAGCTAAGTCCTTGGTCTCCAGAGCATTAAGGGTATACAGTGAAGTGTGAGAGATCTAGCTCACAGTAAACACCAGTGACGGACGATGCAGTGCTTCAGGGTTCAGTTTAAGTGTCCTGAACTCCAAGTGAATGGTCTACAAGTATGATGTGCTTGGCTAAAACACGCATCACATTTTTAAATGCAATACTTTCCATTCATACTGATAGTAGTAAGTTTTCTTTTAAGAAACAAACCTGACTCACCTCTAGACTAACCAAGGAGTTGCGAGAGAGATCCAAAGACTTCAGGACTGTCAGACGCATCAGAGAGTTTCCAAGGTGGGTGATCTTCTCTTGGTACGTTCCAGGGATAGACAGCGACCGAAGCTCAGCTAAGGGCAGAAAGTCATGAGACTCTGATCCTTTTCTAATTGAAGATGATATCATGATAAAAAGCGTTCCCATCCTTAGTTTTCAGAAGTACAACAGATAGCTGGTATGCCTGTGATCCCAGCTACTCAGGAGGCTGAGGCAGGAGGATGAAAACTTCCAGACTCTGTCTCAGAATGAGGAAAAGTAAACACAGTAGGTAATAACAAAGCATCTCTGCCTGACCAAACTTGGGTTCATCTGCACATTTCACGCTAGCAAGGACCTCCTGCCCTCCACATCCACTCACCCTCAGCACCTCATCAGGTCCCTTACCTTCCACCCTTCCCAGGCGAGGTCTGATACTGGCCCACCTTCAGCAAGAACCCCTTTGGTCCCTCTTGTTCTTCTTAGTAATTCCCCATCCACTGATGCCCACCCTATTCTTTGGCCATAAATTCTCACTTGCCCACACTACTCAGAGTTGAATCCAATCTTTCCCCTCAATGAAAAATACCCTCGCAAAATACCACTGCAAAATACCCAGTACCTCTCTCAAAGGTCCTGGATAGGATTCCATGCTATTCTTTAACAAGTGTCACCAAACAACATTTTTCTTTAACCATACACAAAAAAACTGAAAGGAAAGGCATAAAATGCTAACATATTTATCCCACTATGTTAAATAAAAGTCCCTTTATTCATCTCTTTAGGTATTTATGTATTTCCATATTTTCTTATAGGGGGATACAGCAACCTCCTAAACGGACAGAGTCACTTCAGGGCTGGTTACCTGCCCTGGTCCTGGGCTGCCTGGCTGGCCTTGCTGAACCTCTACTCGTCCTAACCCCGTTCACCTCTGAGCACGGCCTGCTGAAGGCCAGGAGTCCATCCCTCTGCAGGTGGCTGAACCTGACTGAGGGCCACCTCCACCTTCATTACAGTGCAGGACTTCATAATCCCCCTCCATACTCCATCCCTTCCCTCTTTTTCCTCCCCTATATCTATAGATTTCTGATTCCAAGGGGTGGGGGAAGATGATCTGCATGTTTGTCTCCCATGTCTCCTGTTCTTAGCCAAGAACATCTTTTTTAAAAAAATATATATTTTTTAAGTTGGACACAATACCTTTATTTTTTTATTTTTTTTTTTTTTTTAAAGAGAGAGAGAGAATTTTTTAATATTACTTTTTAGTTTTCGGTGGACACAACATCTTTGTTTGTATGTGGTGCTGAGGATCGAACCCGGGCCGCACGTATGCTAGGCGAGCACGCTATTGCTTGAGCCACATCCCCAGCCCATATTTATTTATTTTTATGTGGTGCTGAGGATCGAAGCCAGCACCTCACACATGCTAGGTGAGCACTCCACCACTGAGCCACAGCCTCAGCCCAAGAATAAAAATCTTCACTGCTCCACCAGGGCTCGGTGGTGTCCCTGGCCCCAACACTTGGAGGGAGAAACTTTGGGTTCAAAAAACCGTAATAGGAACAATCACAAAACAATTAAAATGGCACTTTAGAGTTCCGCAATATTAATAATTACAGTAAATGTAAATGGCCTCCCCAGGGACAAACAGGAACTCTACATATGCTAAAAGTTCAGCCCACCAAAAGATAAACGTCCTAAAAATGCAGGGTGCCAAACCACAGAATTTCAAATCACACGAAAAGAGAAACCAACAAATTCAAGTTATAGTAAGGCATTTCAAAATTCCCTCGGTAGTTAACAGAATCACTGAACAGAAAATCCTGCTGGTTGAGCAGAGCAACATCAGCCCGCAGGATCTCACCAACACCAACACTGATTTGGTACTCCCTCAACAGAACACACGTTCTTTTCAAGTGGAACATTCACTAGTACAGATGAGATACTGGGCCATTAAACCTTCACAAATTTAAAATAATTTAAATTGTACAGAATATGTTCTTCAACTATAATGTAAGCACACTAAAATCAATAACAGGAAAATAGAAAAATCTCCAAACACAAAATTTTAAAAACAATCCTAAATAATCCATAGTTCAAAGAAGTCTCAAGAAAAATTTAAAACACATTAAACTAAATAAAAATGAAACTGGATGCAGCTAAAGTTATGCTCAGAGAGAAATATACAGCACTAAAGTTACTTAAATGAAAAACAAGAGTCTCAAATCAATATTCACTGTGTTTGCATCTAAAATCTAGAAAAAGAGCAAAATAAGTGAAAAGAAGGAAATAATAAAGAATTAAAGTCACTGAAATCTGAAACTAGAAAAACACTGCAGAAAAATCAACCATCCCAAAAGCTGGCCCTTTGAAAAGATCAATAACATTTATAAACCTGAAGCAAGACTTTAAAAAAGGCCATCAATGTCATGCATGAAACAGGGGCTATCCTGCAGACCCCACCGACATTAAGAGGCTAGTAAGAGGGTGCCATGAACAACTCTACACACACACACATTTGACAACTTAGGAAAATGAATCAATTTTGCAGAAACCCAGACAACCAAAACTCACTGAAGGTGAAATTGATAAAGTAAATAGTTTTCTAACAGAGAAACTGAATTTCTAATTTAAAAACTTCAAAACAGAAATCTCCACGTCCACATGGTTTTGCTGAAACATTCAAAGAATTACAACAAATTCTGCCCAACTTCTTCTAAAACACAGAAAGGGAGGCCTGATAGCCCAAACTAGAACAGAACAAGAATGCAAAAGCACCTCATGCCTGCTGACCAGGCATGCAGGCCTTCAGCAACCCAGCAGCAGGTGCAACCCAGGCAGAGAGCATCCTGAGCCCTGCACAGCACCGGCAGGGCCCAGGCCTGCTCCCTGGAGCCGGCAACAGGGCAGTGCTGGGCAGCCAAGCAGCCACCAGATCCACACTGGACCCACACCTGCCACACTGAACCCACACTGCACCCCCTGAACCTACACTGCACCCCCTGAACCCACTGTGCCCACTAGCCACATATTGCAACCCACATCGGAACCACACGGCATCCACTGGACACACACTGGACCCATGTTGGATACATGCTGCACCCACTGGACCCATACTGTGCCCACTGGACCCACACTGGACCCATACTGTGCCCACTGGACCCACACTGGACCCACACCACACCCATTGGACTCACACTGGACACACGTTGCACCCCCTGAACCCACACTGCACCCCCTGAACCCACATGGTACCCATACTGTGCCCACTGGACACATACTGCGACCCACAATGGAACCACACGGCATCCACTGGACACACACTGGACCCATGTTGGACACATGCTGCACCCACTGGACCCACACCACACCCACTGGACACACAGTGGCCACACACTGAACACATTCTGCTCCCCTAGGCTTCTACCTGACACATTGGAGCCACACCGCACCCCACTGGACCCACACTGGACACACACCTGACCCACCACCCCCGCCCCCGCCCGCTCCGTCCTGCCTGGGCAGCGACCTTTGGGCAGTCAAGGCATTGGCGCCGCGGGGGAACCGTCGGGCCGCCTCCGGGGAGCCCCGGCGCCCGCCCGCCTGCCCGCGGCGCACCCAGATCGCGGTGAGGCCCCAGGCCGCTGCGCTCCCGGACCTTCTCCTCAGACAGCACCAGCCTCGGACCCGGCGCCATGGTTTCAAACTCCACCGCGCGCGCCGCGCCTGCGCAGCGGGACAGGACCAGCAGGCGGGGCCGAAACCGAGGGGCGGGGCCGAAACCGAGGGGCGGGACCTGGGCGGGGCCAGCAGCGCGGGGCGGGGCCTGGTGCGGAGGGGCGGGACCCGGGCGGGGCGCGCTCGCGCTGGGGCGGGGCAGACTAGCCTGTGGGGGCGGGGAGGGCGGGGCCAGACCGTGGGCGGGGGCTGGAGTCAACAGAGGCGGGGTCAGGGTAGGGGTGGTCCCGGCCGGGCACCGCAGCCGGTGACCTGCGACCCCGGGGACCCCCACGTCCACCGAGAGGGGGGCGGCCCGAGCGTGTCACCCCAGCAGGTCCTCCTTTTGTCGTCCTTCTGTTCTGGATAGACTGGGAATCCTCTGTTCCAACGTGGAGCGCCTTTGCTGCCTGTCGTGAGGCAGAGGTTTGTCCCTTTGCACCCTTCCAGAAAACGCGAAAGAGCTGGGCTGTTTAGCAGGAAGACCCCATTCTGATCAGGACGCCCAGGTATCCCAGCGGCTCTCCCGATCGAGAGCATGTGTGGGGGGCCCTGGGATGACCCTCTCCTGGTGTCTGGAGGTACAGATTCAACTGGCCTATTGGTGACAGCCGGGTGGTAGAGCAAAGAGCAGGATAAACACGCAGTGGTAGGTACGGGTGTGTGCAGGAGGTGTGTGCAGGGTGTTCGCACAGAGATGTGTGCAGAGTGGGGCCAGGAATGTGTGCACAATGGGCCTGCAGAGTGGACAGAGTGGAGGCAGGTGGTTACAGGGGTGTGTGCAGAGGTGGTGTACAGGGAGTGTGCACAGTGGGTGCAGAGGTGTACACGAGGACATTTAAGCAGAAGTGTTTAAGGAGGTGTTTACAGGGTGGCTGCACAGAATATCTGGGTGAGAACAGAGCTTCCAACCAGATATGGCCCATCCAGCATGAGAGGCCCCAGTGCGACAGCATGTCTTCCTGTGGACCTGGGCACTCATAGAACTCCTGGCTGTGCCTGAACCCCAGCAGGGATGGCCACAGAGCAGAACTGCACCATGTTCCCTGTCTCTGACAAGGCCAGAAGGTCCAGGGAATTCAGGGTAGCTGGGTTCTGAGTCCCTTCGTTGCCCTGGTGTCACTGAGTAGACTGTTGTGCAGTCGGAGACCTGGATGCAGTGAGCAGAGACTCTAGCTTCTCAGAAGCAAGTAAGGCAAGCAAGGGGCCACTCCACTGGTACCCAGGAGGAGTAGCACCCCAGGGCCTGAGCCAGACTCTAGACATGCTCATTCCTCTCGCTCAGGCCCCACAAAGTCAGAGCCCCAGGGGGACCTCAGGGGATGTCTGGGGTGGCACTGTGGGAGCCAGCTTTTCTACTCTACAGAAACTTTGGAAATAATGTTTTCTGACAAGTGATCCTTGCAGGACGGAGATCTGCTCTGTGTCCTCCAGAGGTCACATGTTCACCTACACCCTCAGTGGTTTGCACACTCTGTGCATGGTTTTCAACAGGCTGTGCTGAACATCATCATACAGATACCTGCTCCTGACTTTCTTAATATCTTTCATTAAACACCATCTGCAAAAAAAATCCTGAACCAAACCTAAGTTTATATAAGCCATCTTCTAGTTCTAGACAGTGCCCCTGCCTCTACTTCCCCACTGCAAAGGTCTGGCTGGAGAGCATCCTGAAGTTCTGTTTGGTGTGCTGTCGAGTGAGTGGCAGCAGCACTGCAGCCTGGAGTCAGGCCCTGAGAGCACAGAGCAAGGGCTGATGGGTGCAGTGGAGGCGGCAGGCGGTACTCAGGTGGGGCCACTTCCAGGGACTGCCCCTTGCCCCTTGGCTTATTTGCGTCTCCCCTAGGTCTCCTTGGCAGGAAGAATGCTGTCCGCAGGCCAGAGGCTCCCTCACCTCCAGCTACCAGGGGGCAGGAAGTGCTGCATGTTCTGGAGGAGGGCCCAGTTCTCATTCAGTGCGTCCCAGGCCATTGACATGGACAGACATGCTGTGCCCTCCCAGGTGTGGGGCTGTATGACTGACAGGGCCACAGGCCACCTCACTGTCCAGCACATCTCACTCGTGGCCCACTGTGTAGCCTCAGGCCTTCGCGGTCCCTTGTTCCATTTCCGACTTACTCACCACTGTCTTGTCACTTGAGCCAGCATCACCCTTCACACAGCGCTTTGGGGGCTAAGAAAGGGTTGACAGTGGTGGGTTTGGGTTTTTCTGGGTTTTGTTTTTTTGTTTTTTGGGGAGGTGGGTGCTGGGAATTGCACTCAGGGGCACTTAACCACTGAGCCACATCTCCAGCCCTATTTTGTATTTTTTTTAAATATTTATTTTTTAGGTATAGATGTACACAACACAATGCTTTTATTTTTTCTTTTTTTATATGGTGCTGAGGACCGAACCCGGGTCCTGCCCGTGCTAGGCGAGCACTCTACCGCTGAGCCATAATCCCAGCCCCTATTTTGTGTTTTATTTAGAGGCAGGGTGTCCAAGAGTTGCTGAGCGCTTTGCTTTTTTCTGAGGCTGGCTTTCAATCCTTCTGCTTCAGCCTCCCAGCTATTGGGATTACAGGTATACACCCACCACAGGTTTTTAAAGAGGCAGAATGAGAGCGAAGGCAGAGGCTGAAGGTGGTCAGATAAGAGGAGGAACAGGCAGAACTCACGCTGGTCCAGGGTCAGAGCACAGGCAGTCTCCCAGTGCACCATGTCAAGCAGGGAGCAGGAGCTATGCTATAGCCCAGGGACAGAGTCAGAATTCCTGGCAAGTGGACTGCAGACTGGTTCACTGGACGGTCTGACAAGACCACAGGTTGGTGTGTGCCGCTTACCGCTTCTTGGGTGCCCTTCATCTTATGGTCTTGGTGCGGGGGTGGCTCCAGCCCTGTCTGCTGGGTCTGAAGAGCTCACGGGCCTGGAGTCTTGTGCAGCCCTGTGCGTCTGATCTGATTTGACAAGTTCCTAGGTGTGCTAGGCTTCCTTTCCTCACGGTGACCAAGAACCTGACAAGAACAACTTAGAGGAGGAAAAACTTATCTTGGCTCAGCTTCAGAGGATTCAGTCCAGGGTCAGCTGGCTCCAGGGCAGCATGGCAGAGGGCATGGAGGAGAAGAGCTTCTTAGCTCCTGGCAGCCAGGAAACAGAATGAAAGAGGAAGGGCCCAGGAGAAGGTGACCCTTGCAGGGCATGACCCAGGGACCTACGTCCTCCAACTGGGTTCACCTCCCAGGAGTCCCCCCAGCCACCCTGGATTAACCCCGTGATGAGGTCAGAGCCTCCTGCTCCCAAGCCCCCACCTTGAACCTGCTGCTCTGGGGCTACGCTTTCATGCCTGAGCTCTTGGGGACTTTGCAGATTCGTCTTCTCTGGCTGGGCTCCATGGCTGCAGTCACTCTCCTGTACGTTCTGTGGGTCCAACATGTGGCAGATGCCAGTGTGCTCACAGTCACCAAGTCACTCGGCCTCCGCGCTTGCTCTGGGTGGAGTGCTCAGGCAAACTGCTGCCGTGTGAGGTGGAGTGACTCGGGCTGGGCACAGCTGTCTCCAGACAGGCCCTCTGCCCGGTGGCCTCGCCACAGCACCTGTGGAAGAACCTTCTGGATGTTTCTGGCATCCCAGGGGCTCCATTCTCAGGGCTGATTCTTCGTCCATGTCTCTGAGTCACCCTGAATACGTCACTGGGGCTCAGAGGGATGCAGGGGGAGAGGGGCTGCTCCTTGGTGGCCACAGCTGTCACAGCTCCTGCCTGAGCTGCGGGTGTCAGGAAGGCAGGGCAGGCCCAGCCCTGCATGCTGCTCCTCCTCTCTGCACCCTGAAGCCCTGCGGTCGGAAGGTCTCTGGACCGAGCCCACCCAACCTGGTGTTTGTTGGAGGTGAGACAGAACCACAGCCACTGCTGAGCCCAGGCCACAGGCTTTCAGGAGCTGACGGAGGCCTTGCCCTTTCTAGCAGGGCTCTACTACTGACCACGCCAAGATGGGTGCTGGACATGAGTGGGAGGGGCCTCCTGAGTGCTGCTTTTTCCAGCTGGTGCCTCACTAAGCTTTCTAGAACCTTCTTCCATGGAGGCTCCCATGTGCCCAGCCTGGATCCCCCAGCCTGTGAGCCCCAAGCTGCAGGTGTCATCAGACTCAGTGGATCCCCCTCTTGGTTGGGATTGAATCAGAACAGAACCCAGGGACAGCTGTCACAGAGAGAAATTTATTTTGTGTCCAAAGTAGGGATTACTACAGCCTCCCCTCCCATCCCCGCGCTGAGGACAGGCACAGTCAGGCCCTCCTCTAGCAGCACTGAGAGTGCCAGGTCTCTCTGGGGTGAACAGCCATAGGTCAGCAGGACCTGGCCCAAGAGAAGGCTGGGAGGCCAAGGCGGCCCACTCCCATCCCTTACCTGACACTCAGATAAAGTTGTTTTTCAGATAAATCTCCTTAAAACTGCTCCCCCTCCCCAGGAATACTGCCCCACAAGTCACCCTGAGGAGTGTTCACCATAAGAGAAAGGCCAGTGCTGCTTCACAGGACAGGAGCTGAAGTTTCATCCTGTGGAATGGGAAGAAGGCCGATCCCCCCCCACACACTGCCTCCACCACCTGCTCATGCACCAGCATCTGACCTGGCCTTGCAGACCATGGAGAGGTGCAGGCACCAGGGGCCCAGCCTCAGATGGAGCCAGCATCCTCTGTGGAGTTCAGGCCCTTCTGAGGGCAGAGCTCTGTCCAGTGCAGCCTGCTTCTCCTCTCCAAAGCACCAGAGAGCCTAGGGCTCAGGGTCACCCTGTACCAGGCAGGGAGTGGCCAGGCTTTGAGGCCTCCTTCACCCAACCTGGTCCTGCAACACCACCTAGCTCACCTCCACCCAAGAGCCTCTGGTCAGCAGACCCCACCAGCTCTCCATACCCAGTACCTCCACCTGAGCTGCACTCCCTGGCCTGGGGATGCCAGCATCTGCCCTGCTCTGCCGGAACACGGTTCCCTGTGGGAGCCATCCTGGGCCAGTGCTCCATGGGCATGATGGGAGCAGCCAGGGCCTCTGGTTTTGTCC